GGCAATTGGAATGACATTTGAGTGGTTATAATCGACTTTGGTCTATGCAAAACCGTATGATTTCTCGGGTCACCGTAAATGGAAGGGGATCTCACTTTTAACACCTCGTTGTCATCGTATACCACGATGGCCTTGCCCACATCAGCGATTTCGGGAATATAAAACAATCGAACGGCTTGACTAGGCTATAAAAGATAAGGCCTATCAACAAAAGAAATACCTATGTGACATTCACCTTGATAAAGGTCTCAGCGCTTTCGACGACATCTTGAAGAGCAAACAAAGTTCTTTCGAACGCATCGTCAAAGGGAGAGCTAGGCTGAGCCAACACGATGATCTTATATCGATCAGAAATGCAGCATCAACCAACAAAACATCGATACCTTGAGGTCGGAGTCCCCTAGATAGTTGTTCTCCATATAACATATTCTCCCCACGAAACTCAAGAGGAATGGCTCCGACAACGGAGAGTGTTCGTCCACAATATATCGAAGCTCCGATTTTTTCCGAGCGAACGACGGCGTACTCGTCCAAAACAAGCTGAGGGTGAGTGTTATGCTGTAGAGGGGGAAGGGGATCCCCAAAAGACAGAGTTGGGTCCATGGGTGCCTAACGAGACACGACACCTCGCTTTTAAATAAACAGAAATCACCACATCAGTTTCTTCTCTATAGTAGTACTGAAAGAAAGAACAAGATTCCAAGTAATCCTTCGGGAAAAAAATCACTCTACAAGGAAAACAGCAAACGCTACTCAAAACACGGTACTCCAATCAATGACTGCCGAGTATTCACACGAGCGAAAGTCGTGTACCGAAGAGGACTCGAAAGCGGTACGATCCGCGCAATTCATGAGCCCACAGTTGTCATCCGCCGAAACATAGTTCGATATAGGGAGAAAACTTCCGACTTCTCCCAGCAATTGAAGCGAGCGCGTGTCAGGATACCCTGGAGGCGGGTCCTCATCTGTATATCCGGACATCCAACGCAACTGAAAAACAATCACAATAGTTCCGATATCTTATAATGATGGTCACCTCAACATCATCCAATGCCATGTCCGCAGGCTCGACAAACACCGACAAGCAATCCGGCACAAAGTTTAGCTCCACTTGTCCTTGATCAAGGACTGGGTACGATTCCTTGGAATTAAGCGACATTTATTAAAAGCATAAAACCGATGCTGTCACTGAAACACGCACCTTGAGATTCACAGACACTGAATCTCCAAATCGAGAAGTCACACCTAACTCCACCAAATTATCGTCCGTGGCGATCCCAGAACTCTAAATCGCATCATGATTAGTCACACTAAAATCATCGATTATAACACCTGCCTTCGGATCAGCAACATTAAGGACGTCCAGGACACCTTGGATCTGGGGGTGCGGAGGAGGGAACCAACAAACAACATCTGCGAATGGCTGCTGATGAAAGACGACCAAATACAAGCAAAGAATATCGCATGACCCAACCTAGACAACTAGACTTAGAAAAAACAACCGACTTGCTTAACACGCACCGCAAAACTCGATCTTGAAATTGTCTTTGCAGACGCTTTGGGATCGTAGGGGCCTTGTAACACCAAAGAAATTGCCCGTCATTTGAAACTCTCGCTCCATCAGCCATAAAATTCAGACTCGACGTGACGACGTCGTTGTAGTCGGGTCTATCTCCTCGGTTGATCTCGAGACTTGCGACCTCGAGCCGTATCGGCGATAAAATCCGGATTCCCATCTCAGCGAACAAGGAACTGACTCTCATATTGACCTTCCCATCGTCCACCAAAAACAAATACTCCTCGTCCTTGTCAGTCGGTGTTGCTTCCGAAAAATGTACAACAAAAGCCTTCGTTTGGTAGGTACCCAGACCTAGCGTTGGCCATGGCACAACGCCGTTGGTTTGAGGACGAATAAAATTCAGCAACCATTTGGGAATGGAATTTTGTTGGTGCGTTGCACTTGACTCTGTTGCTTGGTTCCCATTCAAGATAGCATTCACTACGACAAAAAAGTCAGTATCTAACGAAAACCCAAACAGAGACAAAGTGCTGACGCCAATGAGCCCTTGCAGTTACTTTGAGCTGCCGTATTAAAAACGATATTTCACGGCAATTCCGGACTTCGTTGAGAGAACTGAACATAAAATTCGAAATGAATTGATTGCGCGTAATCCGAAACCAGCCACCGCCAACGGCATAGCAAGCACGCATCTCCAGATGTGCGATTAAGCCTGACCAGTCAGAAAAACGACGACAAGAAATAAGTTGCTCACCGTGTATAAGGCCAACGATGCTGTCATTTGAAACCGTCAGAACGAGCAAGCGGGTGTGTAGCAAAACAACGAAACGATAGAAGAGACCATGGCGACAAACCCTCGCTCGTAAGAGTAACTATCGCATGAGAACCCCAGCCACAAGCATCGAAAATTTCGCGAGCCTATGCAAACCAACAAGTTAGCAAGTAACTAACAGAATTGCATAGCAACATACCTGGTCAGGGGAAAAGAACAGCCCACAGTCGCGTGAAGTAGTAAGGACACCCGATACACCAGGTAAAGACATAGTAACCCCAGATGGACGTAGTAGGAGTTGAGAAGAGAGCCACATAACAGGACACGTAATTGCCTTCCTTAACTGTAAGATGATGAAGGTCTTCGGTCACCCTGAGTCCACTTGATGTCACAAGAAAAAAAAAAAAAAACCAGATTTTGAAGAATATATCGAAAAACCTTGAAATGCACAAAAAACCTTCAAAAATGACGCAGAATAGCCAAACTTACCTTTGCGCCACAAAAAAGACACCACATCTCGCCATAGAACCTGAGGAAAATCAAAGTTACGACGTCGAGGACGTGAATGAAAACAAAAGCTTTGTTCATTAGATAAGCCACGCCGAGTCACGACCGGTCACCAAGAAATGTCACTCAAAACGGAGTCAGACATCGATGTCACACTTGTTACAGTTGAAGACTAAAGCAAGGTTATCAGGCTCAGGCGCCCCCGCGCCAGAGACCCTTGTGAATCAGTGGAAGGTAGAAGAAACTCGGGGAAGGTCCGGAGGCGGCCGGGCTGAATAAGCGCCGGCCGGTGATGCCATTCCCAACAGAACGGGGGTCTCGGTTTGTGCTACCCAGGCTTGACGATTATCGAAATCGACTGTAATCGCCGCGACGTTTTCCAACTGTAAAGCGGTGAATAACTGGACGAAAGTGAGCGAGCTGGGACTCACTACAACAAAACCAGCCAGAAGAGGACCAAGAAGGATCCGCACTGGAACGAACGCAGACGTCGCGGCTCACCACCAGCCTTTCGTACCCGCATAACCTCGGTGGACTTCATCGCGCAAACAGGTCTTATATGACCGAGGTTTTCCTGCGAGCAGGTTGCCCGTTTGCATCTCGTCCAGCTCGAGAGCCGCATTGAGCAGGTAGGAGTCGGCCTACCTCCCGATCATGCTGACGCCGCCATCACTGTCTCGCTCCACCCAAGTCATATAACAGGTCGGGTGGGAGATACAGGACTTGATGCGCCAGCCGTCGGGGTCTCTCTCCAGAGGTGTTAGGACTATTGAGGAGGTGGGGCCTCGGTCTACGCTGCCCATGGCTTCACCAGTGGCGATTGGTGGGGTGAATCGTTGGACGGGTTTGAGGTTTTCGATAAGCATTGTCGTCAAAATTTCTTCGGCAAGATGGCCAACGATAACTTGGAAGAATGAAGTAATATTCGACGACGAGAGGATGGGCCGAAAGAAACCCAGAGTTAGGACTCGTCACACAGGTGAAGTCACATAAATACGAGTTTCTGCAAAGTGCTATAACTCCATATCTCCCATCATCATCATCCTGGCCCTGTCCTCCCTCTACGCTACCTCACCCCCAGTGACAACCGTACCAGCCTACGTTACTCACTGGGAAAGGCCGTAGAGGCAGCAGTCTACCAGTGAAACCATAGATGTGTCCCAAATCCGTAACCCATACCACCACTTTCTCAAGAAATGCACTACCCTGCTCTATAAGCGATCTCACAGTATGCACAACCATATCCGAAACCTACATACCATACACGCTGCTCTCCTAGCGTAACTTTGGAGTGAGAGTAACTGAGTTACAAGCTCAAAAGTACCTGTTACCATATCCTTTGCCGCGAGTCATATCATGCCGCAAAGCCACTGGTACCTGCTCTGATTTCTGCATATTGTATATAGTACATGTTATGAGTCACTGCGATGTGGGCTACTTCAGCCATGGGCTTGTTCCAGCACCACTACCTTTTTTCAGTGCGTGTGACAGTGAGGTCACACCTACCCAGCCGATGACTAACTCACCACGTGCTGCTGAAATCTGAGTCACTGCATGCTTGTCATACAATCAAGAATAAAACTCCGAAGGCCAGCTCAGTTATTGTAGCTGTAGGGAGAAGGTGTCAATGCTTTCTCTCCCTATGATGTATATTATGCTACATAATAACCACAATAACCACTCTATAGAAATTAGTCCTGCATAACTGTTATACAGTTTTTTTTTAAAAAAAAACCTCATTCCAAAGACGGTTCATGTGCACAGGCAGTCAAAAACAATGCTGCACTGAAGTCTTGCATATCTAGAATTACTTAAATTTACCACTGATTAGGACTAACTTCACTGATTCTGGCTTCAGGCACAGACTGAGTTCTACAGCGCTTGGGAGACTGGGCGTGAGCTCGACTCGGAAACTGTTTGGAGTCCCGGGACGAAGAGATACAGAATACTATACTGGCTATGTATTATGTACCTCAGGGCACTCCCCGGAAACCGGCGTTCCTCAGTGGGACCGTGCCGTGTAATCCTATCCTATCCTATCCTGAAACCGGAGCTTACATAAAGGCGATGGATGTTTGAGCGAGTTTTCATAACAAAATCAGCATCCCGCTAAAAACTTTGCCTATGATACACTAGGTACAGCGATTAATTATTGACTAGTTATAATTATGCTACACCTGAAGCTTGAAGACCCATAACAGTTCACAAAAACGGCACATTCTTCATTTCTCCCGCAGCCAACAGATCCTCGTCAAGCGCGTCTTCCTCGTCTTGCCCTGATTCGTAATGTCCATTCTCTGCATACTCTCCGGGCTCGTCATCGTCCATGTCGAACTGCAGCTCGTCGTCAAGCGAGCCAGGCATGCTCGTCATACTTCGTCTCCGGTCCCGCTTGCGCCGATTGCCAATTGGATCAAGCTCTTCCTCGTCATCTGACTCAGCAAAGGTGTATGAAGAAGACGATTCGGGGCTGGCACTGCGTCTGCTTCGGTCTGGTGATGGTGAAGCATGTCGAGAGGAGCTAGCGCCGAATGAACTGGACAGCGTGTTGCTCAACCGCTCAAAAGAGGACATTTGCCGAAGCTCCTCGCCACGATAGGGAATGGGCGAGGTCTCACGCGAATGGGCCACGCCATTAACCTTGTTGAGAGCAGCTTGACGCATAGTGGACGATTGCCTGCTTCCGACGAGACTGAAGTTGCGCAATCTTGAAAGAGCACTTTGGTTTGACGTGTCTGAGCGAGCGCTCAAGGCGGGAGATGGTGGCGAAAGGTCAGGAAGGGGGAACTCCTGCACTGGGGCCTTCCAGAAATTGAAGTCGGTGTATTCTGGTGTCCATTTCCGGTGGATGGGAGGGAACATTTGATCGACAAGATCGGTCATGTGGATGTATGATGACTTGTATCCCGCAAGTTCAAGTAACTCAAGTTTGACCTCTCCAGTCGAGTCAATGGTAAAGATACGCGAGCTGGGCACGTTAACACTGCGGTAAGACAACGCATCGGTGATGCGGTTGCCGAACCCAGCATAAAACGGGTTCCGTCCTTCGCCAAATAGTCTTTGGATGTCGCGCAAACATGCCATCTTGAACACCTCTGGCTTGCGCATAATGACTTCTCGATGGAGAGAAGCCATGAGCCGGTCAGGACTCATGATAACAGGTCCTTCGGGGAGTTGGTAGTCGTTCTGCTTGATCCCTTTGAGGTAGTCACGTGTAGCATCTGCTTGTCCAATGGCTCGAGAGGTGAGATACATAATTTTGTACCCGTTTCGCGAGATGTCAGTGTACAATTTGGCAACTCCGAGATGAGTCCAGTCGCGCCCAATCATCGCGAAAACGTGACCTAAACCGTCAGATCTGTTTTCCGGAATAAGTTCAAGCAAGAGAGTTGTGTGTTTACTGACTTGGTTATAGTGCCATCGATATCAGAGACCAAGACGTGATCAGTTGAGTCCCATACAAAGATTCGAGCCGTGCATGCAATGACTCCGGACGCCGACAGCGAAAAAGTGATTGAATTTGCCCCAGGCTTCAAATTCAGGGATTTCTGCAAAGCCATCAGTGGCTGGAAAAGTTATTCAAAAGTTCACAGACGAGCTGATCAGAAGTCAAACGAAGGGTTTTGGCAAATTTTCGGCCACTTGACTCGTCTACTGGTGGTTTCGGAGGAGTTTTGACAGGTTGTTGAACAGGCGTCGATGGGACTGGGGCAGAGTCCGCTGGGGGTACATCCGATACCACTCGTTTGGGTACAGGCAGGGGTGAATCGCGGGGCGTCTGTGGCCTATTATTTCGCTGTAAAATGTAGAATGAGAGACTCACTGGAGCGGATGCAGTCCAAGGTAATGGTGGGCGGTCGTCTTTCGCGGGAGCGCTTTCCCGTTTACTTCGATTCCACCACTGTACCCAAGACGTTGATGTCGGTCGTTCTTTGGGTGCTGGCTCAGGCGGCTCTGATTTAGCTCGAAGATGTCGCCTTTCGGCTTCGGCTTCATCGTCTGTCGGGGTACCAGGAGGACTGCTATCATCTTCTGAGGCATCAGGAGATGTTGGTCGAATAGGGATGCCAGCTTCGGTTTGCAGAACCAGTACATTCCGCCAAAGAACAAGCGCGTCCATGAGTGGCGAGCCATCAGACCGGGTAATATATCTACAACGAGTGAGATGAAACGACCGATACCGAAGACAAAAAACGCACTGGTCTTCTGCCCAACGTATTACAAGTCGCGGATCTGTGACAACAGATGAATCCTCCATAAGCCGCTCGAGCCCAAGTTGCCCTTTTCTGAATAGGCGCGCGGCATCAACCTCATCTTTGCGATTGAAGATAACTTGTCCACCACTTGAGCCATTACGAGCGCGTCTGCCGCGTACCTCGTCTTCATTATCAGACATTTCATCCTCCACCAAGCTAAGCTCGAAGGGAATCTTCTTGCCCTCGATTGCAACAGTGAACTGGGTAGAATCGGACTCGTTAGCTGATATTCGGCCTCCAGCGCCAAATCCAGTCCCAATTTCCTCAATCACGGCGTCCAGAGTTGATTGGTCAAAGCCCGTTTCGTTATCTTCGTATTCGAGTGGTCTTCTTCTCGAACGTGATGGTGATCCTTCCAACGTTGGTGGAACGCTACGACTTCGCCCTGATGGTTCAACTTCGTCGTCTTCCTCAGGAAGGACATCATCCACAACCATTTCTTCCCTTCTTGAAGTTTTTGCGCGAGCACTGGCCCGACTCCAGGTTGCCGGAGAATCTTTACCGCTCCCAGAAGCGGCTTCGACACGTCCCCCAGGCCCGAATGTTGCCTTCATCGGTGATGGCTGCGGAAATGCCCCCCATTCCCACGAGTACTCCACATCGAGCTTCGGAGGTGGTGCTGAATGCGACTTCTCCGGGGCACGCGTTGTGGGCGACGGAGTTGGTGACCCTGCACAAGATTAGCAAAGAGAAGAAACGAGCTCTGGACTAACGATATGTTCCATCGTCGTCTGCAGTAATGGTCCGCTCCCTATCGTGTTTGCGATTTGAGTGGTAGCCGTCGGCATCGAGCGCAATGTCTGGATAGAAGTAAGCAAGTGATGAGAGAGATAGACAGCAAGTATACCTTGTTTGTAGTCGACTTCCGGTGTGGGCGGTTTAATGGAAGCGAGAACTTGGTCCGCCCGTTGGTCCTGCGACTCCTCAATATTGAGCAGAGATGCCGGAGTTGCAGAAGGTGTGCCTGGGGTTGCTGAAACTCGTTCCGATGATGGGAACGTCAATTGTGAGGGTCGTTTGCGGTCAGTAGGACGCGGAGGCGATGTAGCATTGAGGTCAAGGAATTCGGGTTCTTCAACTGGGGTTGGGTCGTCTTGGACGATCTGGTTGTGAGTTTCCGGATCTTGCTTGGCGCCAAAACGATCTGTGGGCACATCCGCCGTCTCTTCGGGGCGAGTTGGTTGGAGGATAGGGCTCGTTATGAGGTCCGCAGGCACATCGTCTTCAGTTTCAAACACGAAGAACGCCTCGCCTGCCTCTCCGACCTTCATGTCAAAGGGAATTGGATGCCCATTCACGGAGACTTTGACCTAAGACAAGGCTGAGCTTCTTGTAAAGCGTTGCGGGTCAACAACGCACCTTCTTTTCGCCAGGACGAAGGACTTGCCACTTTCCGAAACGAACGTGGAACGGAGAGCATACCAACTCAGTGGCTCCGGAGTCGGTTGGTCGTTGAATGACAATGACATCGATAGCGCCGGTGAGTGTCGCAGGGTTAATTGGAGGGAGGTCCTTGTAGTATTGGTAGGGAGCGCTGATAGCATTGACTGCGCCCCGAATGTAGTTCATCGAGGAAGCAAGTCGAAAGCTTTTGGCGCGTGATTATATGACACTTCGCTTGTTTGTTCCGCCCCACCACAGCGAACGTTTCCCCAAACCCCATTAGATCCTGGTTGGGATGGTTCACAAACTTCATTCGACGCGTGAAACACTTCAAGCGTAAATAGAAACGTTTTGGATCCGACGAATAGCCAAGATCCGCTGAACATTCAAGACTGACATAAAAAATGCATTGATTCTCAAAACCCAGCGGCAGTACGGATGGAATCCAGTAAAATATCATTTGGATCTCCTCCTGCCTCCCATATCGCAAAACCAGCAAGCCCAGCAGACTTGATCCAGGCACCTTTAGCCGCAAATGACCTTGCATCGTCATAGGAAATCATGACCTTGGTGGTCGTATTATAAACAAACGGCTGTGATACCTGGTTAAAAGTGCTTTCAGTGTTTATAATTGTGAACTCACTGTTTGCGTGCAGGTGTCGTACATGTATGGAACACTGGCTTTGGGGGTGCCATCAGGATTGAGATATCCTTGCGCGATTAGACCCCAGAAGTTAATCACTCCTCCCTGGCTCTGAAAGTTACCGCACTCATCAACACCTGCTGCGTCATCCCATGCATCGCCTGCAGGAGCCACGGAAGCGTTGAACGGAGCGTACAACGCTAATTGAGTTTTTTTCGAATCGGTGAAGGCGTCTTTTTCTGCGACAACAAAAGAGTGGCCATACGAAGCGACGCCCAGGACGATCTTACTCGTCGGGAAACCTGCCTGGGACCAAGCGGAAACAAAATCAACCGCAGAACCGGATTGGAAGTTGTCGGGGGCACAAGTGTCATTAAGCGGCGCATTTGGTCCTACTGCAGCTGACCAAGGTCCTAAACTTGCATCAGATAGGGCTCCAGAAGCAAGGTGATTGCATTTTTACCATTCACATCATAGTTCATAACCTGAACATGGTCTAGGACTTCGGCAAACGCAGAAACATCGGACATTGGATCGCCATTTGAGCCAATGAATGGGCCAACGACCGCAGCTGATACAACAAGTGTTGCACCAACTGGATCCTTACGCAATGCTTTGAGGAAGGAAAGCAGATGGCTAGAGTCTTGTTTGTTGATCGTGTTGCAGCCAATGCCTTGGTTATTTGGGTATTCCCAGTCAATATTGACACCATCAAGATTGTACTTTTGGACGAAATCGATGATGGTTTTGACAAATGCAGTTCTTGCAAATTGAGATCAATTATCTTTTGGGAGTTATTTAACATCTTCCTACCTATTCGCGGCCGTCGCGATATCTGTCGAAAAGAATCTGCTTCCCGTCCAGCCTCCCACAGATATCATCGCTTTGACGCCCTGTGTGCTGATGAGTCTCCGAACGATGCAGCCTGGGTGACAACACAACATTTTGATGCGCGGTTTTGACGAAGACAGGCAGAATCGTTGGCTCAGAACCACTCAAATCTAGAGTTTGGACATTCGAGGTAGTTTCACTGTCATAAGTTGAGATCAAATAGTTAACCAGTTTGTTAACTGAACGCACGCAAACGAGTAAATTAAGTGGGTGTACTTGTCCCAGCTAACATCGGCCACCGCAAAGGCCGGCTTAATATCGGCAGCGTGCCAGCCCGTGAACCATGCGCTTGAGATAGAAGGCTTGTTCTTGAATTGCTGAATTTGGCCCGCAATGGCCAGTGAAATGAATGAGGGGACGACGACGAGAAGAGGGTAGTACATGTGCAGATGCCAGAGCTCCACCGTCTTTGCGTGTTCTTCTTATATCCCGGGGGTTGCGATCGCCTTCCTTCATCACAGAAGCCGGAAGTTGTGGACGAAAATAAGTGATTGATTGCATGTGCACAGGTTTGTTGGCCGATCAAACGGATCGTCGGTGCCGAGGACGAGTCTCTTTGGATGAGCCAAACGAAGTAGCACTGTGCTCAAAACACATTCCTTGAACCACTTCAGAGTCGGAATCCATAACCCCATGTATCATGTATGCATAATCTAACCCGCACGAATGTAGATTGGGAAAGATGCAAATAGCAGGGGAAGCCAAGCGAAAACTTGAAGTTGGAGACGGAAGAACGTTGTTCAAGTTTCGCGCAGTGAGAGAATGAAGGTGATGAGGCAATGAATGTCGCACCAAACTTTGCTGGTAGATTGAAGTATGGAGTGTTGATACTTCTGGAGTCTGAATTCGAAAGTAAGTAAGCAGGAGTTTTGAGATAATAGCACGAGTTGACACGACGCGGTGTTGAGATAGCAGCATTTGATGTGGTTCCATGGCGAGCAAGACTCTGGACCGGATTGCAGTACTGAGAAGTTATTGGTGGTGAACTTCGCAAGCCAAGCCAAATGACGATTATGTAAGCACCATCGGCTCATCCTCTGCGTCAATGTGGCTCAACAGCGCGCCGGGTGCTCTTCTCCTCGTTACGCCTCTGACCCGGTCCCTCTTCGAGCATTCATGTCTCGCAAACAACTACTATGGCCAAGTCCTCGATGGCAACCAAGTGAAGACGGTCTTCATCCCATCCGAGGCCTGCTTCGACGCTGTCGCATCAGAGGCGTTCACAGATACGGCTGCACTCATGCAAGCTTCACATCCTATCCAACAACTCGTCTGGGTGGAGCAAGCCGCCGTAGACCCCGGCTTACTAGAGACCGCAGGCTACTTCGAATTCGACAATTTCATGGATCGGTTGAAGACAGTGGCCTTGGCTAAACGACAGCAAGAGCCCATTATTCCACCTTCTTCACCTATGGATACGGGATACGAAGTGTTATACCTCTCACAGACGGCCGCGTTGCTGTCTGTGAGTAGCGCTACTGCAATGACGATCGACACGCTTTTGCCGCGATTCTGGAAGTCCACCCTACTCCCCACCTCCCCCGTAGACTTTATAGAAGTACCAGAGGAGGCGTTAAAGCACGTCAAGAGCGTCTTAGCCACCCTCACCTTCAATCCTGAAGTCGCCTCGATTGTGGAGAGCATTTCGGTTCCCCAGTTGATCAACGATATTCGCTTTCTTACGGGAGAAGACGAGGTTTCTGGAATTGTTTCCAGGCATTCATTCTCGGAAGGTTCGCGTGTTGCCGCCAAGTGGCTAAAGGTGAGTCTCCGCGTGTCTTAGGCATCTGCTCATCATACTCGATAACAGGCTCGTTTTGAGGACACTGGGGCGAGTTGCGAGTTACAGCCTTTCCTCTCTGGTTTCACTCCCAATGTCGTCTGCTCGTATCCTTCTGCTGTTGAGAGCAACAGCACGATTATCTACAGCGCCCATTACGACAGCCGAGGCTCGTTTGGGAGTGTCCGTGCTCCAGGTGGGGATGATGACGGTTCGGGAACCATTGCTATTCTCGCACTAGCGCGCACAATTGCGAGAAGAGGAATCAAATTCCATAGCAATGTTCAGCTCGTCGCATTTGGGGGCGAAGAGCAGGGTTTATTGGGTTCGCGAGCTTATGCCCGTGAGTCCTTTGCAGTCGTGCATATCTTTTGGCTAACTCAACACAGGTAAATTGCGGGAGGCCAACACGAATGTTACTTTAATGATTCAGGCTGACATGTTAGGGTACCATGCTCAAGACGAGCCTCCCCAAATTGGCCTCCCTGCCAGGTATGAAGAATTATTATCCAGCGAGCGTTTATCGACGAGATGACAGCATCGGAACTCCTGAGGTCGCCCAACTTGTTGCAAACATCTCTACTTTGTACAGTCCCGAGTTACGAGTGGGTTATACAGCTGCGTGCTGCAGTGACCATCAGTCGTTCCATGAGCAAGGCTTCCCTGCTACCCAGGTTTTCGAACGTGCCGGTCCAAGTAAGCATTACTCTTCTGACGAAGTTTTTTCTGATTGGTGCTAGTCGTGGACCCGATGTACCACAATAGCGGCGACTTGAGCGACCGTGAAGGTTACGATTTTGGTCAAATCAAATCCATTGCGAAGGTTCAGGTGAGTGTTAGAAGTCGTGTGCTTCGCCTTACTCACCTCTGCAGCTTGCTTCCCTTCTACACACTGCTGGATACGAGGTTTCGGAATAGATGATATGGATGGACTTGTAGACACCACACTACTAACCTTGCACCTTCTGTAATACCACAGCGCTGATGTAAACGAGTGGTCACATGATTCTTCATCACTTCCATATTCTTTGCCTTCGCCTCTACCGTTTCAGCCCAACGCAATGGTGCGTGTAATTCGCTCTTAAATTTCTTCTCAACTTACACCATCCGCAGAGTCTTGCGTTTGTACACGCGCACGATTGCTCTGACCGTAATTCATCGACCACCACCTCTTGCGATAATGACCCAGCTTCTCAGCGCACACTGAAGCCGTGTGGGGTATATCCTGGACAGCAAACGACACCATAGTCTCCGTCTCTGCCGATGGTTCGGTAAAACAGTTTGTCGCTGCCTCAGGCCAGCCGTCAACAGCATCGATGCCCCCTCCACACACCCTAGGCCAGGTTTCTCTGTCTGTCACGCGGGACGGCAGTCGCGCACTGTGCAATACTGTTGAAGGGGTCACTTCCTTGGTGGACTTGGGCACGGGTGAAGTGCTGGGCAAGCATGAGAGTTATGTGCGGGACCAGAGCGGTACTTCGGACGAGGATGGCGGGCCTTGTTGCGTGCCCTCTCTTTTCTGCTTGCCACTTGTCATTGATCTTGGTCTCTCCAGCGTGGTCGGTTTCTTTACATCCCGATGGGACAACGTACGCTGCTAGTGGGAGCGGGGGCAAGGTGGTGATCTACTCCGCTCAAGCAGACTCGTTTGGCAAGCAAGTAGCAAAATTCTCGACGGGGAGGAGTAAATATGGGATGTTCTGCCAATATGTTGCGTGTTTTATTTCGTCTTCCATCCCCCTTCTCAAACAATAATTACAGAGTCCCGACGGGAAACGCGTTGCTCTTGCCTCAGAAACGGGGCAGATATACGTGTTCGACGTGGAGCAAGCTGCCTTGAGTGCGACTTTCACCTCACACGCGCTTGCAGTCCGCTCTTTAGTCTGGTCTGCTGACTCCAATGTCCGTTTTCTCCCCTTGAGATAGCGTTTGTGTTGACGAGAACCCACCCAGTTACTGCTGAGCGCATCAGAAGATAAAAGACTTGCATTGCATGACGTTCGGGATACTGGCGGCCCGTCTGGTGGTGCCTTTGCAACATTTATCGGCCATTCTTCTTGGGCGTTGAGCGTTGACATCTCGCAAGACTCAAGACTCGCGCTCTCTGGGCAAGCTTTTCACCCTCCTTCGATAGTCACGCATCACTAACTTGTAATTTCCTTTCAGATCTGCTGACAAAACCATTAAAGTATGGGACATTGGTGCAAGGGCGGCTGTTTCGACTGTACAAGACGCTGGTGAGGTATGGGCTGTCTCTTGGCGGCCGAAGCCATCCGCTGGAGGAGCTGGTGCATTTGTTAGTGGGGGAGAGGATGGAATGGTGAGGTGGTGGCGTGGTGCAGGTGTCACCGTATAAACATGCTTTGGAAACGGCAATTTATTCGCGTTGGTAAGTCACCTGTAAACAAAAACTCGGACAAGATTACAAGCGAAAGATGGAAAACAGCAGTGCTCAGTATGGCCATGACGCATACTGTTGTTAGACCAACCTTCTACATCCTCGGGGAGATTGTAGACCATGAATTCACATCTCGTTCCACACTCGAGCTAGACGGCGTTTTCAACCACTTGACTCAATATATGATTCAGGTGGGAAACTTGGACGGCCGAAAATGCCGACGGACTATAAAAGACGGACAGCAGTGGGAACCTCAGGCTCAGGATTCAGCATTGAACTTGCACATGGCTACCGGACATCTGCAAGTTGAGAAGCCCCAGACAGAGTCAGTACACAGATCTGGACTCTACTCATTCGCACTTACTATGATAACGCAGACCGTTCCCTAACACTCTCCCCATTGACCAGCCACCGGCCCTCCATGGCACACGTCAAGCGGCGAATGGGCGCGGGCCTGTCACGCCACGATACATCTTGGGCTGGGTCGTGCCTCTGAAGCATCTATGGTCGCTCAAATTCGACGGCCTCGAATACCACCTACCGGCAAGTACTTTTATGGCAGCTGTTGTTAGGCCACATTTCCGCGCCGCATTCCCGCAAGCCTTTGTTCTCATTCACCATGACATTCAATTTACTGTGTCTGTCAGGAATGCAAGACTTGCTCCCACATCGTTGGGCCAAAATACAGAGCCAGAATTGGTGGAAATCATCCATCTTGCCTTCAATAATAGAAGCCGCACGTGGCTGGACGGCATGCTGAACCAGATCGTGGAGTTTGTGAAAAAGACTCTCCAGCTGCCCAATGACCATGAGCCACTTTGGATTCGGTCGCCTTGGCATGAAACCATGATGCCTATTTACAAGAGATTATGGCCCCACGCCGATAAAATAAAGTATGAGCAGGTAGGCGCTCATCTTCCAGGGACCGCCGAGTTGGCTTTGAAGTTGAAAAGCATGCGTGTCACTGAGTGGGAAGCGAAGATGTCGGACTCGGAGTTTTGGGATGGAGAGACTTCAGAGACTTCCGAAGCTTCAGAGAGGAGGCTTTTCAGCAGCGTCCGTTATAAAAAATAGACGTGTGGCCGTTGCACTTGCGGACATTCAATATGATGATAATATAATAATCTTGTCTATGAAAACAGCTTATATAACTTGAATGCGGGCATTCTAAACGCGATGGTCTCTCAACTGCTTGCGGTGGCTGGTTTTTTGGTGAGATTTACATTCATATCATGAGGTTTATTTATTTTACAAAAGGACCGCCATATAATAATAATAACTGTCACCGGGCCGAGAATTCCGCTGGACTATAAGAGACCACTCGGAATTCGAATCGAGATCGGAAGATCAGAATTCACAAATACCTGACATGACAATCCAACATTCTGAAGAGAAGCCCAGAACAGAGCCAGTTCTCACCAATACCAGGTTCGTTTGCTCTCTCTCTCTCAGACTCTCTGCATGGAATTGCATGATACTCAACTTGAACCAGTCCGAGTCCATTTCCTCCCACTCTTTCTCTGAGCGACCCACCAGCCTTCTATGGCACAATTCGACCCTCAGATGGAGCTATCACACCATCCTATATTCTTGGTTGGGTTGTGCCTCTCAATCATCTATAGTCGCTCAAATTTGATGGTCTTGAGTACCACTATCCAGCGAGTACTTTTATGGCACGTCTCATAAGGCCTCAGTTTTGCAAGACATTTCCGCAAGTTTTCTCCCCCCCCTTGCGATGCTGTTTAATCCACCCACTAGGAATGCCAAACTCGCTCCGACATCGCCGAGCCACGCGAGGGATCCAGGATCGGTTGTTATCATAGAGCTTGCCATGAATGATCTAGGCCGCAGATGGCTGGACGGGATGCTGCCCGAAATCGTGGAGTTTGTAAACAAAGCCTTGCAGCTTCCTACTGGTCACGAGCCGCAGTGGTTCCGTTGGCCTTGGGACGAAACTATGAAGCCTGTTTACAAAAAATTGTGGCCCAAGGCGGATGAGATCAAGTACGAACAGGAAGGCAGTTGGTTTCCTCGTGAAGGCATGCACGCTGAAATGGAGGCGGAAATGGAGGCGGAAGCCTCGGAGACTTTGAATGCTTCAGATTCCGAAGATACTACGGATATTGTGTATGCTTCCGAGTCAGATAGTTCGGAGGGGAGTGACCTCAGCTCGGTCTGATGTTTGTATTTCCACATGATGTTATTGGTAACTGGATATGGAGAGCTCTCCAAAACGAGGCTGAGTCTTGTGGCATGATAACGGTGAAGGGCGCCCATATCCACACTTTAACGTTTAATCACAACCCATGCACACGCACTGCAAAGCTCTGATCAATAATCTCATTCAAACCAACGACATCGAGAAACACACTAGACCATGAGAAAATTCACCACTGTGGACGGCTTCAACAGGAAAAAATCGGTGGTTGACACATAGAACCCTATTGAGCCTTTGGTGGTATTAGTCTGATTCGATAAGGTTTATTTGTTTGCGGGTCGAGTGGTGGCGCCGCAACTGTAGGGATGGCTTCCGTGATGTCATTAGTTTCTTTCGGTGGTGGGGAAGGGGGTCTTTGAACTGGTTCCGGGATATAGATGGGCTCAATGAGGATTTCAGATCTCGGACTAAGACAATCGGTTAGCTGCTTAGGCGACGAAAAGCGGCAAGCCTACCCGATGTATCCACGCATCAAGTTGTTAAGTGCTATCTCCTTCTCGCTTTTATAATACCTGAGCTCGTCTCGTATCGAATTGAGTTCGGATTTAAGTTGTTCTTGGTGTTGTAGCGCATATCGATGTTTGGCTTTGAGAATCAGATACATGACTTTGGGAGCAGAGTACTGCCCATCAATTTGACCATCGACAGGGTCAACACGGGCTCTAATGTGTGGTGGAAGGTTTTCGATAGAAAATCTCAAGTCATCATCTTCGTTGTCTTCTTCTAGACGAGGGGGCGTGGTGGGAGACTTAGGTGAATACGGACGTTCAGGTTCAGACTCATAATCCCATTCGTGAGGTTGTCTTGGCGGTGGGATAATAAGTTTGACCGGAGCTGGTGGAGGTGGTGGTGGGGCAAGTACTGGTCCCTTGGGTTTCCGCATCCCACCTCGACGTGGTTTTTTTGTGACTTGAGATGCGGTAGTTGTGGCTGGTTCGGAGGTAGGTTGGACAGGTTGCATTTCGAGCTCTTCCATTGCACGCTTGCGTTTATTGGAACGGCCTGGGAGGGACGCTGCGACTCCGTGTTGCTGCCGCATGTGGCTTTGCAAGAGCGTCAGAGCGTGCAAATGCCTTGTCGCATTCTGTATGATTGGTTTAAAGCTGAACATGAAGAGCCAGATAATCAGGAGGGACCTGCATGGGAGCAAACGTATGGCCTTTCTCCGGTATGAGACCGCACATGAGCTAGGACGGCAAATCGAGATGTCTGAGGAAGGCCACGACGCGCACAGCTCGCCCATTCGCAAGTATAAGACGATTTGTTGGAGCCAATATGAGCTGTGCCGGTTAAGCAATGCAACAAGTAGCTAGAAGAACTTTACTGTTTTGGATATGGTCAATGAATGTTGGGAGATGTCCGAATACAATGCCACAGTCGTTCCATTCGCAATTCACAGTGTCAACAGTGCCGCGAAATTCATGCAGTTTGGGTTGAGAGACTGCCGGCAAAACCTCTTCGTCGTTAGCAATACGACGAGTGCGCAGCGCGTAGGGAGAAGTTGTTGGACGAGATTCAGAACCAGAAGCAAGGGGTTCGGGTGGCGGCACAGGTATATCTCCTTCCAGCTCGGACAGTGGTGAGAGCGAGCGTGAAGTCGGTGGTAATGCAACAGTATGAACGAAGACCAGCTCAGGGTCGTTTGACGCCATGAGTTTGGAAATAGAGTTGGTGAGACTTCCTTTTTGGGAGTGGCCATGATCTGACGCGCCTTGCATGCGACAGCCATGGGTCAGTTCCATTTCGCCTATTTCCGCATGTTCTTACACGCAAATAGAGTCCGCAATCGCCAAACAACTCGTGGACAAGATCTATGAGAAGCGGAAGGCCGCAGCGCTTGACCTCGAAAAGTAGGCTATGCGGCGTAACTCAACCAGCCGCTGACTGACTTTTCATAGGCAAATCCGAGAATGTCACCAACAAGGAGACCAACGAAGAATAAGCCAGATAATTGACCAGCTGGTCGACATGTTTAGCAACACTCACAACGCGCTCCACATCCGCAATGGTGGTCTCATCGGGCTTGCAGGCACTGCAATTGCCCTCGGCGTCGATGTCGCGCCGTATATGGACAAGTTTGTCTACCCGCTGCTCGACTGTTTCGTCGATTCGGAGAATAGGATACGCTACTTTTCTGCCGAATGTCTCTACAATATCGCCAAAGTTTCGAAGGGAGAAGTGCTGGTATACTTCAACGAGATATTCGATGCGCTCAGCAAGGTGTGTCGTTACACGCGTTCAAAATCAATACTGACCCTTTACTCAGCTTGCTGCAGACTCTGAGCTCTCCGTGAAAAACGGCGCGGAGCTACTCGATCGACTCCTCAAAGACATTGTAGCAGAATCGGCGTCTGTTTACATCCCCCTTTACCCAGAAACCGAGAAGGTTCGCGATGAAGTACAGGGAGTTCTCGTACCATATCAAGAGGGGGAACGCAAAGCTTTCTCCCTTGCACACTTCATTCCTCTACTTCGCGACCGAATATATGTCGTCAGCCCCTTCACTCGCAGCTATTTGGTCTCGTGGATCAACGTGCTGGATTCGGTTCCCGAACTCGAGCTCATTTCATATCTGCCGGAATTTTTGGATGGTCTGCTGTGAGCAATCAGGCTTGTTATAGAACTTTTATCAATTGTTTAACAGCAAATATCTGTCCGACCCCACGGAGGATGTTCGTGTTGCGACGGAGACATTGCTAGCCGACTTTGTCCGCGAAATACGCGAAATCACCGTTGTCCGTCGACGCACGGAGGAGAAAGCAAAGTCTCAACGTGATACCTCGTCAATCCGACAGTCTGATCATGGCGGTGACGATCGACTACCAGACTTCAGTGTTGATCCTTCTGAACGGGCGGTCTTTCTTCCGGAAAACGACGAGCCGATTACCTATGGCGAAGAAGTCAAAGAGGAAGTCGCAAACGACCTGGACTATAGGGACACTGGAGGTTGTTCAATATAACTGGCATAGATTTCAGTTGACCCTTTTATAGCTTGGGTACCTGGTCAAGGAGTGAAGATTGACTATGATGCTATCATCGAGATATTGATTCAGCAGTTGGATGGCGAACGTGGGGAATCTTATCAAAGCTTTGCGGTTTTCTCACCCACTATCAGATGATGAGATCCAGCAGTCAACTGCGTTACGATGGCTTGCCGAATTCCTCAATTTCACGAGCGAAGTCATGGTCCCATTCACTCCACGTCTTATTCCTGCCATCCTGCCCAATCTTGCCCACCATGTTGCTATGATCCAATCTGCGGCGATCCACACTAACAAGTCGCTATTCAACGTCATTCAAGCGCTTCCTTCCCCCGCTGAACCCCCAACACGCGCTCCTCAACCTGCGCTACCGCGTTTACCTGGTTCACCGACTCCAACTGCATCCACTTCCAAACAATCAACCACTGGACGAGATCAGGATGCACCCAGCCCAGAGTCTGTTACGGAAGCTACATCTCCAACAACCGCCTCGTCCTCCCCCGTCCTTTCACGTTCCCGGACCAACCTTAATGCCCTCGATCCGAGTCAAACGCCACGGCTAAGCGATATGGGTCCACCGCCACTTCCCATAAGTCGACCCCATTCTCCTGTATCGTTCACCAGCCAAACTGGTCAGAACAGCATTAATATGCCATACACGCTCCCGCCAGAAGAAGTCGATCTATTCGACTACCAAGCGACAGTAAACGAGCTCACCATCCAGTTCTTGAGCGAATTTGAGGAAACTCGTGTTGCTGCACTCAAATGGCTTATCATGTTACATCAGAAGGCACCGAAGAAGGTATTGGCTTCGTTTTTAAACGTGTCACCAGCGAAACTGACGTTCTTTCTCCACTTGTGTGTAGATTTTGGCTATGGACGATGGAACGTTTCCTGCTCTGCTTAAGACGTTGTCCGACAGTTCAGAAGAAGTCATCAAACATGACTTACAACTTCTGGCGCAGATTTCTTCGAGTTCGGAAGAAACTTACTTCAAAGCATTCATGATGAACCTCTTGGAGCTCTTTAGCACGGACAGACGACTTCTGGAAACACGAGGCAGCCTGATTATAAGGCAGCTATGTCTCAACCTCAACACGGAGAGGATATACCGCACCTTTGCGGAGATTTTGGAGAAGGAGGATGTATGCGGTTTATTCTCATTTCGGTTCGAAATGTTCTAACGAATCACAAAGGATCTTGAATTTGCCAGTGTCATCGTGCAAAAGCTCAATATCATCCTCATAACGTCTCCCGAACTCGCGGATTTCCGCAAGCGGTTAAAAAGCCTCGAAACTCGCGTATGTTTCTTTGGTCCTATAGTTGTTCCTGTCTAAAAAAATTGCCATAGCAAGACGGACAAGCGTTGTTTACGACATTGTATCGCTCCTGGTGCCACAACGCTGTTGCCGTCTTCTCACTATGTCTTTTGGCCCAGGCATATGAACACGCATCAAACTTGCTGCATATATTGTATGGCAATTTCTCAGTGGTCATTTCTTTTCTTATCGGATTCAGTGCCGACCTAGAAATAACTGTACCGATGCTGGTGCAAGTAGACAAGCTCGTGCAGCTGATAGAATCACCCGTTTTTACATGTCGGTGTTGCTTCGACATGCTGACTAAAACTGACTATTTTCATAGATATCCGCCTCCAACTTTTGGAGCCCGAACGATACCCTTACCTTTTTAAATGCCTCTATGGCTTGCTAATGCTCCTTCCTCAAAGTTCCGCTTTCATATCCCTTCGAAATCGACTAAACGCCGTCAACTCAGCCGGATTCTTGCATATTGCGCCTAAAGCGTAAGCTGCGTCCGAATTGCTCCGGCACCGTCTAATCATCGCCCTCACAGTTCCGTTGCTTCGACTATGTCTTCAACACGCTCAAAGATTGGCCGAGATGAGATTAAGTGGCAGGAGCTGCTGCTTCATTTCCGCTCGGTGCAATCGAAGCACGAGAAGGCGCGACGGCAAGCGCTCGGAACAGATGGTCTCTTTTCGTCGGCACTGTCGGACTCGGATCGGATGGAAGAGAGTGGCCGGACGGGCCGCAGTTCCAGCTCAAGACCTGGTGTGAGGCGGAAAGTGACTGGGGAAATGACCATGCCGCCAACGGCAACACCTACACTAGCGTTTTCACGCAGTGGGGTGTTGTCTCCGTTGAATCCAAGAGCACGATCAACAGGGTTGTTGGCTGGAGCAGTTATGGCGCAGACGGGGACTGGCCCTGGACCGATGCCAACTAGTCCTGTCACTTTACTGTCGCAGCAGGCACAGAAGCAGAGGAGAGCGACGATTGGACTGGGTAGGAAGGTTTAGTAGTCTACAGGATAATGAAGATTTTCGATGTGATCACGTGCTCAACGCATCCTCTCCCTCCACTATGTCGCGCACTTGAAGCGATGCCTGACGCGTCTTCCATACTACCCCTTCATCCCGATTCTTCTCCTTTGAAGCAAATGCGCTTAATAGACTTGACTGTGCATATACCCTCTTCCCGCAAGGTCAGCGAAGGCCCGGACCAACCAGCTCGATGGAGAACACTGGAATTCCGAATCTATGCACTCATAGTGCTCATGGCCGTAGCCGTAATGGCGTGGCTCCCTATGACCCTGAGCATAGGTGCGTAGTGCTTGCATACAAGCATTATTATATGCTTATAGGTTTCCAGCAACACACCCCAACTACCCACGGTTCCGCCACAAACTGTCGCCGGGCTGGATGTTAGGTCGCCCGGTTGTGAGAAATTCGAATTGCTTGGTTAATTAGCTCCCGCTGAGACTCTGTAGGACAACAGCGACGCGCAGTACCGCGGTTTCCGGGACAACTTCCTCCCCTTGACACTAGGAGCAAGCGTTTTCCTGCTTGCGAAACTCATTCGCAGACGGATACATGGCCAGCAAAAATCAACCGACGACACCTACCTCCTCCGATTCAACTTTTTCGCGGCGTTGGTTATGGTCGCGGCGTTGCACGGAACCAGCGCCCTCAAGATCCTCCCTATTCTCGGCGGGAACTACCTCATCACCAAAGCTTTCGGGGGCTCCAAGTCAGGCCCGATTTTGAGCTGGATGTACAATCTCGTGGTGTTGTTTATGAATGACTGGTTTCGAGGGTATAAGTTCGGCAAGATTGTCGGCGCTTTGGCATTTCTGGTGCGTCTCCAGGTCGCATAGCGGTTTCCCAACTGAATAATGCAGGATTCCTACGAAGGAATATATCCACGCTGGCACGTTTCGTTCAATATCACAATGCTGCGACTCCTTTCGTTCAGCATGGACTACTATTGGGCCTGCCGGACTGCTGCAAGTCCTTGGGAGGTGTGCTTATTTCTGTGTGTTCTATTGATCCATTTGACATACTTTAGGGCATGGCTGAACTCAACGACCGCGATCGCCAGACGAAGATCCATCCTGTCAGTATGTACTCTTTCACCAACTACATCTCCTACGCACTCTACCCACCCCTCTATCTTGCCGGACCAATCATGACGTTCAACGACTATCTCTGGCAACATCGAAAACCTTTGAATATCACGGGTCGCACATTGACAGGCTATGCGCTCCGGGTGGCCGTTTCCCTCCTCACCATGGAGTTCGTTCTACATTTCATGTATGTTGTTGCCATCAAGGACACCAAGGCATGGCACGGCGACACTGCTGCGCAGATTGGCATGATCGGATTCTGGAATCTCATTCTTGTGTGGCTGAAGGTTTGTGTTTGACGACCGTCTTAGCAGAGGTGTTCATTCATCCTTTCTCTAGTTGATGAATATATGGCGTTTCTTCCGTCTATGGGCCATGGTCGATGGAATTGATGCCCCAGAGAACATGATCCGTTGCATGGCGAATAACTACTCGACCTCTGGTTTCTGGCGGAGCTGGCATCGCAGCTATAACCTCTGGCTCCTGCGGTACATTTATATTCCCATGGGCGGCGCGCGCAACGTTGTGATCAACATGATCCTCGTCTTTACCTTTGTCGCACTGTGGCACGATCTGACTTTCAAGCTGCTTGCCTGGGGCTGGCTCGCGAGTTTGTTCGTCCTGCCAGAGGTAGTTGCGCGGTATCTTTTGCCAGAGGGCAAGTATGGCGCCGAGTCGTGGTATCGCCACGCCTGTGCTGTTGGCGCTGTGTTTAACATCTTGATGCTCATGGCGGCAAACCTGGTGGGGTTCGTCATTGGCCTGGATGGAATGAAATTCTTCCTGGAGCGGTTATTTGGGACAACAGAAGGTATGTGTTCAATTACTCCATGATAAACACCGCTGAGTCCGTGTAGGGTGGGGTTTCCTAGCAATAACCGCCGTCTGTCTGTTCTCTGCAGCACATCTAATGTTTGAATATCGGTAGGCCTTTCTTTGTCCCAATCCCTTAGGTAACCTCCTTCCAGAGAAGACGAAAAACGACACGGTATAATACGAAGGTGTTAGCTATGGACATCAGTTATACCATGCTTCGAAGTGCAGGTGTCTCCTCAGTGGCTAGGACCAGGATATTTTGCCGGATGGTAGCAATATCGTCGTCCGTCAGTCCGATGAAGCGTTTGACATATCCCTCTACTCCCGAATACCGACTGTCCACCATGTCCAAAAAGGCCATCATAGTTTCGTGCCTGTGCTGTGGGTTGGGAGATAGTCAAATGAACTTGGGTTTGCGTACCGACAAGTAAACATGTTCAAAGCAGCTTCATTATTGGACGCAAATAATGGCTCCTTGGAGAGTCTTTCAATGATTTTTGCACGAGCAGGCTCGCGTCCAATACGGGTGAGCGCATAATCGTGTGCTATTCTGTCGTTGTCCACTCCTGCGAGCTTCCGACAGTCAGTGGTCAAATCCGTTGAAGAAATTGTGGCGTACTTTGAGAAGAATAGCAGCAATGACACCCGTTCGGTCTTTACCAGCGGTACAATGAAATACACAGCCCTCGTTTGGTCGGTCGCGGACGTGTCGGAGGATGGCGCCAAATGCCGTACCACCATGGTCGAGAATTTGAGAGTATCTGCAGTGATGGTTAGGCATCTACCTCCCGGGTCACGATGAGCTCAGCTCACAGCTCCATGAATGCCTAGCGAGATTCAAGTTAGACTTGGCCAATGGAAAGCGAAGAGTTGGGCGTGCCTCGGTCTTCCCACTCGCATACAACTGATAGCGTCTATGTTCTTAGTTAATGAGCCGACAAGCCAGCAGAACTGCCAAATTTGCGCACTTCGCCATCATCTCGGGGCTATAGTCCTCTGTTCGGAAGACAGGAATGTGGTTTACAGAGACTCCATCGATGGTGGGCACCGGGGTGTTGTACTTGTCCGTAGGTTAGCATGCGATGAATGATAACGCGAACGGGGGCAGCCTCACCTTCACGATCTCAGTGTCCGATCTCAGGTCGAATACATGGGAGATGCCGAGCGAGCGCAGCTGGGCCTTGCCTAATCACCTCGTTTAGCTAGCCGCAAATGGTACATTGGACTGGATGTACTTGCCCTCGTCTGTTATTCCTGATAACTCGGCAGAACGGTAGAGCAGACGCGGTTTGGTGATGAGATTTGGGTACAGTTGAGATGGGAGGAGGCCAAGGTCGCGGACGTTTATGACGCCGTCAATCTTGACGAAGGGTAGACGCGAAAGGTGCTGCTCTACGACTAATGGATCAAGCGCGTCAAGGTCGCTCATCGGAAGCAAGCCTAAGCGAGTCACAACCGTGACACCTCAAAATTCCTCAGCTTATAGGCTTGTCCCACAACTCGCATTTTTCGGTCTACTATACTGTCCTGCTGTATAGAGGCTTGGATTGGATTGATCCACGGCACTGTCCGACTGACGAACGCTAACTCGATAAATCTCACTATCTCTTCAACAAAATATCTACGAGAACCAGGAGAACCTGCAGCGGCCCAGGAACTATGAAAAGTGCGAGCTTAAGCTGCTTAATTGGCTGCGCAACATTCAAAAGTGATCCAATAAAAGAGCTTTTCCTCAACCCCAAGGGCCAACACTCTACGCTCATCACTTCTTCGCATTAAGCACGAGAAAAGTACAAATGACAAGTCAAATATCGACCCCTTAGATCCCGGTTATCCTTAGCACCAACATCCTGGACCTTCAAGCACTTGTAAATGCCAGTGAGTAACAACCCGCCATTCCGGACTACGATAGCTCACTTACGGAGCAAGTGTGGGGTAGAAATTGAACCTTCCCTTTGTAACTGTGCGCTTGTCAGCTGCATGAGTAGCTTCGCTGCATTCAAGTTCCCCAACGGATTCAGCACCTATCCGACGAATATTCAGCCACATGGACTCACGGAGCGACAGTCCTGGTCAGCTCAGGGTACGCCTCGTACATATCCAACGACACTGCTGCCCCCAGACGCGCGTCCACAGCAGGTGCTAGTTTGCTGAATGTTAACATCGACGATGGTCAAGAGTGATTGGGTACCGCGATGATCTACGGAAACGCGGCGCATTCGACTTGAGGGAGTCTACCAATTGCTGATTGAATGCCTTACCGACTGCAACTCCGACGACTAGCAGCACGAAGTCAGCCAACGAGCTTGTCTGTGGTCATGGGAACCTACCTGTGCCAACCAGGATGAAAATTGGGACCAGGGCGGATGCAAACTTCATGGCTATGGCCTGTGTGCGTCCAGATGCAGGAGACGATATGCCTCATTCCTTTTTATTCTACGCTAGCCTGAGCCGTACGACGAAACTCTTCTAGTAGAACCTGCCAGTCTACAGCAGATACATGATTGGATAGTGCATAAAAGGCCCATCTACTGGTGGGTGATAGAGCTGCTGGCTTATTGCTGCCGTGACGTGCATGTGGACCTACGATGACGATGACAATAAATGAGGGTTCTTGGGCACATGGTTCTCGAAGGTTCAGACTTGTAGTCTCATTGAGAACGGGAGACGATCTGAGACGCTTTGGTCGTAAGTTCAAGCCAAAAACCCGCTGATACCAATATAATTTTACAACCATTCTATCCAATGACAATAAGTATTGACCTCATCTCATACAAAGAACGGGCTCATGACAACTTGAATTTTCTGCCGCTCCACACACTTCCGCGAAAATCAAGCACTATTATGTTGAGCGATCAAGTATTTCGTCAAGCTGGCGAACACTGACGAAACAAGGGTGGGGTAGAAATTGAAGAGCTTGATTTTTGACGAGAAGACTGACGCAGTGCTGGATACCGGCGGTGGCTTGCTGGATACCGAAGTAGTCTTGCTAGACGCAGGCGTGCCCTTACTGGACACCGACGTGGTTTTGCTAGACACCGAAGAGGTTTTGCTTGACACAGTGACCGAAGTCTTACTAGACACTGGCACGCTCTTGCTTAAGCTGGATAGCAGGGTTGCTTCCCTAGGCATATGTCAGGAGGCGGAACCTAAAGCACCGATAGATATACTCACGGAGCCAGAGTCGGGTAAAAGTTAAACATTCCTTTCCGACTTGAAGAAATCGGGCCAGCACCAAGCGGCTCAATTGCTAGAGTGGCTAAGTGAGTTGCAAATGGTACGTTGAATAAGGCGCAATCGCACCTCGGTGTTCTGTGACAACTTGAATGAACAACATGTTACCGAGGGTTCACGATTATTGCACAGATACTACCAATTTCCATTCCAGATGCTGAGAGGATAGTGAATAGAAAACGCTTCGAATTGAATGGGCATATACCTATAGCGCTCGTGATGCTGATATGGAGGAGCGCGTTTGCAAGCTTTATTGGTTTGGGGGCTAGCTGTTTGTGTTCGCTCATATGGCCTGCTTTTATACCGATGCTGAGATTTAACTGGTAAGGCGGCCCAACAGCATCACGGATGCGGTAACTTGAAGACCAGAAATTCTGAGCTGAACGTCAAATCTTTTCTGGTTCGGATGAGTTAGTGGGGTAGCTGAGACTTTGAGCGGAAGCGAGATCACATCCGAGAGCTGCCCCTGTGCCATCGAGTTAAATAATCGGTTTGAACATCAAGAGCTCACCGGTTCTCCCTCATTTGGAGACCATCCCTCGACATCGATGAATGGTAAACCAGTTCCCCACAGCTTCGATGTTTATTTCAAATGCTAATCGTCTTTGCCGTGTGGATCGTAGACTTCGAGCTGTCGAAGTACATGTAAGTGACTTCAAAACCTTGTCTTCTTCCACTCATGTCGATTTAGTTCTGGTGACGACTGGATCCTTGTTGTGAGGGCTCTTGCGGCCCGCCGGGTGTAGCGGATGTCTGGAGGGAGATGTTCCGGTGGGTTTGACTGATGAGATGTATTGATCGCCGTGTGGGGAATTGGGGCCGCGCGTCAAGACACGTCGCTTTGACCGGCGGCGTCCTGCGGGGTCAATCATAAGAGCTGCAGAGGCGAGAGCATCTTCATCACACCATTCTCGCGCGGGAACAATCTCAAAATGCTCCCAAGGTGACTGCGACTTGTCGCAGTCGTCGTTGATGACGGGAAAGCCATGTACGCACGTGCCGTCCGTCCAAGTTTAATTGCCCTTGCAGCAGGGCTCTCCAGTCCAAACCTTCACCATCGCAACTACTGCGAGCCCGTTACTAGGATGGAGCAGAGGAATGAAGGGAGCGGCCGGTGTTGGTCGAGGGATTTTTGTTGTCGAAACAAATTTTGTAGTGGGAGAGTCTCGGAGGACGACGCGCCCCCTTGACGCCGGGCTCCGGGCTTACGGCGATTTACTTCGTCCACCAAGTGCGCGTCGTAGCTATGTAGTTCACAAATAATTTGGGATAGACTGTACATGTTCTGTAAAGCGTAAACAACAAGAGCTGTATGAGGGAAGATAACTTCGCACCTAATACAAGAAGAGAAGAGTTACGATCATGCCTAATCAACGCTCTCAGATGGCACACGCCTGGGATAGTCTGGATGTCTGGAGAGAGAGAAAAAAGTAAGTCCGGAGAACAAATAGCAATGAAAGACGCACTTGGTGCGACGATGATCTGAAAGGCCTTTCTCTGTAAACACCCGACCCGAGTTTGGGCATTCAAAACAAGCAAGTTTACCGGACGGGGTAGACAAACGAACTTTGTTGATGTCATTGTGTCTGAAGAAAGGTCAGTACCAAGGTCAAATCGAAGCGCTGGAAGATTGACTTCGCAACAACATGAATATGCAATCCATCGATATGGATCGAACGCTTGCAGTACGGACAGGCAATCTTGAAGCTCGGCTTGAGTTCTGTCATAACCGCCGAACAATGGTGTTGCCAAACTGCGGAGAAGCTGAATTCATAAAACAGCGGGCTTTGTCTGATAATTACCGGTCAGAGTGATGTCTTCCAGGTCTCTGTTGAACGCAGAGAATATGGGCCCGAAGACTTCGGATTTGATGACCTGGCTGGCGCTGATTTTCGGGTCCGCCAGCTTTACAACCCGTTGTAGACTGTCTCGTAGTGACACGGGTTGACGGAAGCCCAGGAGCAAACATACAACTTCAAATTGCGGTAGTAAACTCTTCTTTGCTCATCACAGTATTCTGCTGCCCACAAGTTGAGCTGTTCGGCATTCTAGTGACGCGTTAGATGAGCAAATTCGGGTTTGTGAGATTAAAAATGGTGCAAACCTGTGTCAATATGGGAACTGATTTCTCGCGCTTGATGTATTCCTAGTAAAAGTCACGGGTGTTGATCATGGTGGTAATTGTGGAAGGGTACCTCCTCGAGTTGATGCCTCATTCGTGAACGAAACGATATTGGGTGGGTCGGAGCTGCGCCGCAGGTTCTAGCAATAGCTTCGTCATGCTCCTGCCTAGCAAGTTGGATAGCCTTCCAGTCGAATGCGTAATAGACGACGCCTGCGACCACTTGGTATGGAATCTTCGGAAGCGAACGTCCCCACGGCGTGGTATCTTGGATTTGGATCCAATCCACAGCCAAATTCCTGTTGCTCGCTAAACTATAAAACCAGTGGAAAAGACAAATCATAACGGACGAGATGATATCGAGCTTGCATCTACGCTGAGAGGAGTGAGGAGTTGAATGTGGTAGAAGGCTAGGCGTAGCTACCGAGCAAGCTCTCGAGCGAAACAAGAATATGCAAGGGAGGCGCGCAGTTGGTTTTGTGCATTGCTAGTAAAGGGGAGTCTGGTCAAGCGATGAGCAATTGGAAGAGTGACATCTGCGTACGGTGCACATTCCTCCGCCAAAGAGAAAAGTTGCGTAGGCTGTTTCGGAAAAGTTGCCGGACGCTGGGACTTGAGGACAAGGGGGAAGAGTAAGAGAGATTCCACTGCGTTCAAGATTGGCTCTGGCCCTATTCCAAAGATAGACGTGTTTCAAAAGTATCATGTTGCGAAGGCGTTTCGATGTCGCGGAGAGCTGAACGAGATCGTATGGCGAGCATTGCTCTAAAACCTATAGGCCAAAAGTTCATAGGTAGTAGCATGTTGGTTCTGCGAGCCAGACCAAGATGCCAATATCGCGAGGAAGGTCGTTGAAGGGGAAAAGGGAGGGAAAAGGGCGTTGCATCTCTGAAGTGGTACTCGTTGTAGGGAAGAAAAAGAGGTGATGTGACCAAATGGGCGGCGGACCTTGAGCCGAGCATTCTGCACTATGGGCCCATGTCGACACTCCGTCGTGGCTTTCGAACAACTCTCAACAGTCAAAAAAATCGACTGGTCGAAGAACTTAGAAATGTTAATGGGCCGAGTGTTCATGTGATAAGCATCGACACGACATGTCATAAGACACGTTCAAGACTCGAGATCTTCGCGACTTCGTTCATTGACTTCATAGGAGAAGCACACATAGTCGTTAGCGACCTAGATTTATATATGGGTGGTAGTCTGTCTCGTCATTTAAGTACTTTGTTTTCAGCTTTCTTCGGTGTGACATGCGTGACATCTGCGTTCTGAATCATGGACAACACCACAACCATCTCAGACGCGTTTGTTCTGCAAGCCCTCTTGGACCCACGCAAATACATTGATACAGCAAATAACGAATTTATCTCCCTCGCGCAACAAATCACTGCTGAAGAGAACGATATGATCTGGAATTCGACCAAAAGTACACGAGAGAGACGCCGAGCCGAACTAGCCACCCTTGAGACAAGGGAAATTGGAGCTTCCGGTGCGGTCTCTCCAATTAGTCATTGGGCTCAAACTGAAAGCAGGCAAGTGTCAATGGCCAAATTCGCTGCCACTGAGCACAATCACACGGAGACACGCAAACGTCGCTTGCACGCTATCGAGGAAGAGGAGGGTCATGGTTTGTTGACTGAGTGCCCTTGATGCTGTTATTCATCACATATCCAGAGCCAGAAGACTCGGTCCATAAGAAATTGCGCGCCGATAGTACCTTCACAGGTAGAAGTGGCAAAACGATGCAGACCAAATCTACGGCCAATATTACCTCGACTACGACTACCGCGTCAACTTCACTCCCAGACCCTTCGATCCTGTTTAATCTGTCTCCTTCTCCTCCTCAAAGTCTTCCACTGCACGCAAAAAAACCTGCTCCGCCTCCTTCTTACGCTTACACTGGGCAACTCTTGGCTTTCGACCACATCCCGGTTCCAAACAACTTCACCTCGCACTCGCAGCCTTCCGCTTCTTCCCCACTTCTCATGTCCCCGGCTCCAACCCAATTTTCTCTCCCTCCCGCGAACCGGCCTAGACAACCCCAGCAGGACGATGCGCCGGATGACAAAACTATCGTTAACCTTACTGCCTTGGGTTTTCCCCCAGCCGATCCTATCCAAGACTATCAGAAAACCATCGCAGATTCTCCTGTCACCAATTACTTCGCTCAAGCTGATACTTCTATTCACGCTATCGGCCACGACCTATCCAAAGCGAGCAAGAAGTTCGCAAAATACTTCGCCAGTGGCAGAGAGTTTGTATCCAAAGTGGAAAGTGTTTGCCTGCGTCATCGAATCCAGCTGCAAGTCCTCCAGACCACTCGGCGTAACGACGTAATGTTTGACGCACAATATGATGGTCTTTGGGAGGCACGTACTCGAAAATTGGCCGACACCATGCGTCAGCTTAACGACATCGCGACTCCGGCACAGATGGCGCAGTATAATGCAACTTACGGAGAGGGAATAGACGGGACCGTCAAGGCTCGCCCAACATGGCCAGTAGGTATGGAAGGATTAACGACTTTGCAACTCAAGCAACGCATTCATCACCCTGCTCATGACTTGGATGAACGTACGTCTCAAGGCGATCCGAAGACGGTCACCTCCAACGGCACAAAGGTTGTCAGCGGGTCCAGTGTCAAAGAAGATGATTGAGAGATTTCGGTCCAGTGTAGCTCGTTTCAGATGTGTATAATCATCGTCAATTGTTGATATCTGTACTTCGCGCATAGAGTAAATTACATAAGCATTTTCTCACCGAACCTTTTGATGTTCGTCATGTGTCACTTTCACTCGCCATAGCTGCCTGGATCACAAGAACAAAGAAATCACGACATTTTATGTTTGGTGGCCGGACTAGCAATTACGCAGATTGAAGCCCAAAGTAGAATAAGCTTCCGTAGAAAGTCTGATCGAGTAGTTGAAACCAGTCAAGTTGGAGGTCTCAGCTGAAACCGAAAGCGAGATCACATCCGCATGTCGCAGCCCATCCGGTTAAATAGGTGGTCAATAACAGTAGGATTTACTGGTCTCGCTCCACCATCTGCGTCGAACAATTGTCAATTCCCAACTGCTTGTCGCTTTCCGCTCTGACTTTCGTCTTCAGAAAGGCTACAGTCTATATCAGACCCGAAGTGTTGGAAGTAAGTGACTACAAGCCTTGGCTTCTTCCTGCGCTCACTCTTGTTAAGTCGGTGACGACTGGGTCCTTTCTGCAAGATCTAGAACTCTTGCCGGCCTGCCGAGTGTGTCGGATGTCTGACGGGAGAGTTCCAGCGGGGTTTGCTTGATGAGATGCATAGACGCTCAGCGGCATAGACCACTGTGGCGGAGTATCTCGTCATACCATCCCCGGGAAGGAACAGGCGAGAAATGCTCCTTAGGTGACCGCGATTTATCGAGGTCATCGTTGACAACGGGAATGCCATGCACACAGACGCGGTCCGTCAAGTTTCTTCCTACAGCAAGGCGTCCAAGTCCAAACCCTCACCAACGTCTTAAGACGGGGTGACGACTGGATCCTTTTTGCGAGGGCTCTTGCAGGCGGCCGGGTGTAGCGGACATCTGGAGGGAGATGTTTCGGTGGGGTTTGGCTGATGAGTTGCATTTAGAACGCTCGGCGGGGAATTGGGGCCCTGTGTCATTTATCAGGGTCAGTCATACGAGCCGTCTGTGGCGAGAGTGACTTCATCACACCATCCTCGCGCGGAAACAATCAGCAAATGCTCCTTAGGTGGTCGAGATTCGTCGAAGCCATCGTTGATGACGGGAATGCCATGTACACAGCATTCTGTTCAACTAATCCTTGCGGGAAGGCCATGCAGATCCGAACTCTCGCTGTTGCAACCTTTGCAACTCGGTTACCGGGACGGAGTAGAGGGATGAAGGGAGCGGCCGACGTTGGCTTGGGAGGAAACAAAATCATGTTGTTCGATTCATCTTGTGTGAAGATCTCGGAGGATGGCGCGCCCCCTTGACGTTGGGCTCCGGGCTTACGCGATTTACTTCGTCAACTAAGCGCGCGTCGTATTTTGTCCAGGAAAGATTCTTGTAGGAGCAGTTTATGAAAAAAAGTCAATAGTGGGCGTTGCGGTTTGTTGAAAGTGTCAGTCCGGAGTTGCACTCTACTGGCTGATGAGTGAGTTAAAGGAACGTTGCGCGGGAATCGAGCTGCGAACCTAATTGCAGCAAAACAACTCATGTCGACGTTGTTCCCAGAAAATAATGCCTGCAGCAAAGTGTGGATGAAAAGCGATGCTCCACAAGCGTAGGGAATATACAAGTTCAAGTTCCTTCAAAGATTCTGAAGACAATATCGGCTTGAGTCGGCTTGCCGCAAGGTCATCTTTACTTTGATTTGACGACACCTGGCGGTTCTCGGCCACGATACTACTAGTACGCACACTTTCCTCGGGTTGCGCAGGCACCTTGAGAACAGTTTCCTGACGCGGAGACTTGGGTCAAGCAAAAAGCCTCGAAGGTCATCAAAGTGCCTGGTGGTGTCCAAGCAAAGAGAAGTGATTAGTCATGAACGCTACTTCTTCCGAGTTCTTCGTCAACCTCCAACTTTGAAATCTCACCAAGAAATGCTTTCCTTTCCAGTGACTTGTGGCTCTGACGCGCTTAAGAGGTGCCCGAGGCCAATAATTCCACGAACGTCGACCGGAGTGAAAAAAATAAATTACAGTGGGCTTCTACGGACCGGTCGAGTTGGTCAGATGCGCAAGTGGATTCAACGCGGTCTGGCGGACATTTTTCGGCGCGTTCTTTGGTACACCCTTACTAGATTACGAAGCTCATAGCTCCCAGCAGGACGGATCGTGGTTCGAGTCAAAGCATGCCTGTCCCCAAATTCAAACTCAAATCCGTCAAAATATCACCTACACAGCGGTTAGAAAGGCACACGCATAGTCCCTCAGCACGACAATTTGGTCTGCATACGCTCAGTTGAACCCAGTTCATGCCTGGCCAGCGCCAGACGGCTTCTATCTGTTCGAAGACTCGAATTTTCTGTGGCATTTCTAGACCATATATCCGTTTTTAACCCAGCCTCCGACGTCTCTCCGCACTCGGGGTACTTATAGGCACCTTACATTGCTTTGCGACGAGCTTGTCCTATTTCGCCGGCCATGTCTGCTCACACGTCGGAAAAGGATGTTCATGTCGTTGACGAGAAAACGTCTCGGCCAGCAGAAATCGCTGCAGAAGACGCTCCGGAGAACGCGAAGATAGTAGAAGCAGCAAATACAGATCTTGCTTTGGCTTTGGCAACTAGTCAACCGCTGAACCCACTCGGCGCAAGATCACTACAACTATACGCCATTCTGCTAGTGGCCTTCATGGGTAGTCTGGCGAATGGTTTTGACGGATCTGGTTTGTTGCGTGTGTTCCAACTTTCTTCGGGCTCAACTACATGCTAGTTATGTCTGCGGTCAATGGGATGGAGTGCGTTTTAGCTTCTAGTGTCGTGTTAGGGATCCGCTGATGATTTTACTACAGACAATACTTGTCGTACTTCAACATCTCGGTATGATCAGCTCGAACCCGCCATTTAGGCCAGCATTTATATCGACTCCAGGGAGACGACGCGGGCGGCGGTGTGGGAACGACGACGGCTATCATCTTGTGCGCCGTTGTGAACCGCTGACGCATCTTGTGCTGACATTTCTCACAGCGGGATTGTAGGGCAAATAATTTGTCGGCAATCATGTGTTGACTTCGCTTCAGTACAGCATTGGCAGTATTGTCGCGGTCCCCATCGCAGGTCCGGTCACAGATAGGCTTGGTCGTCGCGGTGGAATGGTGGGCTCCGGGTACTCTTACTTTCGTTCACTGAATAGATTCCCACTAGTTCGTCGGCGCCGTCATTATCCTCATTGGTAGCTATTATTCTCGTGCCGAAACCTCGTTTGCTTATCTTCCACTATAGGATCCGTCGCTGTCACCACCGCTACACGTGTCGGGGCTTTGCTAGGTGGTCGATTTGTGCTCGGTATTTCTCAGCATTACATTTCACCTGGAGATGCAAACTTTTTTGACTAGGTCTTGGTGTCAGTATTGTTCAGACAGCGTAAGGATGACGTTCGCACGCTCAACCACATAATTGAAGCGATATCTCCAGTGCACCATCCTATGTAGTTGAAATGGCTCCCCCACAATGGCGCGGTCGGCTTACTGGATTGTGAGTCGAGTTTGTTATCACTGCGGCATAACTTGACGTCACTCTTCCAGATTCAACAGTAATGCACTAATGGGTCTCCATTTGCATTGACTGACCCAAAAATACAGCATTCTATTACGCCGGGTCCATTCTATGCACTGGTATTACCGTCGCGACGGGCCGTCTCGCCAACAGCACGCGCTCTTGGCGCGCTCCGCTTGCTATCCAGGTCGTCGCGGCTGGTATTTTGACCATCTTCGCGTGGATATTGCCCGAATCACCTCGTTGGCTGATTTCGGTTGGCCGCAAAGACGATGCTCTCGCAGTCCTTGCTCGGTACCACGGCAACGATGACCCGAACTCCCCGCTCGTCCAGCTCGAACTCCGCGAATTCGAAGAGGCCATCAAAATCGACGCGTCCGACAAGCGCTGGTGGGATTATTCGGACTTGTTCAACACCCCGAACGCTAGATATCGGACTTTTATGATGGCGTAAGTCGGACTTTCTCGGTGCTATCACGTAGAAGTGTGTAACATGTTATGTAGGCTCATGGGCGTTTTCGGTCAATGGAGCGGGAACGGATTAGGGTTCGTTCACTGACATTGGCGAGTTAAACTCTTGATACTAAGCGCCTGCAGGTACTTCTTGACGATCTTATTCCAGGTCAGTCTTTCTTCGCGTCTAGTCGCACATACTGATGCTTTTGTGCAGAATGCTGGTGTGAAGTGGGTGATTTTTTCAACATTGGCCGAATTGAACATTTATCACGTGCGGAATCGATCAGTTCCCAGAATGATCGACTCACGTTGAACTTTGTGAACACTGTCGTCTCGGCTTGTGGCGCGGTAAGCTATGCGCTTGTCCATTCATCTCGGTTTCTTACACTCCCTAGCTTATCGCGACGGCGCTCACAGATAAAAGTTAGTCCTTAATCTAATGCTCGTGGACGGACATTGACACCATGCATAGTTGGAAGACGAAGTATGTTACTAGCCTCGATCCCTTTCGCAAGCTTTGACATCGATGTCAAGAAATGTGGTTCTGGGGAACATTTGTCAGGTACGAATGGTCAAACATGCGCCAAGTCGACAGAATTCAAGTTCACATAGTGCATGCACGCTCGCAATTGTTACTGGATGCACCGCAAAATTCGGGAGCGTCGGGAGCAACAAAGCGGGTGCAAACGCTGCGATCGCGTTTATCTGTAAGTCATCCCTTTTACTCGCTTCAATTGGTTAACAACCATCCATTTAGTCCTCTTTGGATTCTTCTACAGGTATTTTAGGCGCTAATATTGAACAACGTTAACATTCCTTTAGCCTTGCGTACACTCCCCTCCAGGCTCTCTACCCAGCAGAAGTGCTCGCCTATAATACACGGTAGATTCTTCAATCTCTCTCGAATACTATTGCTACTTAGACGGTTTTGCAGAGCCAAAGGTATGGCGCTGTACGCCCTCATCGTCAGCTGTGCATCCTTTGTCAACACCTACGCCGGCCCGATCGGATTACAACGCATTACCTGGAGGTTTTACAGTATGTCCAACCGTTTTTTGGGGCCCTGGGGCTGATATTTACGGCACATTATAGTTGTCTATGTCGTGTGGGATCTGTTTGAATGTGTCGTGATCTATTTCTGTGTCGTCGAGACGAAAGGCCGTACATTGTGAGTCGCTCGAGCTTCGTGATCTCACCAGTGGCTGAATGAAATCAAGGGAGGAACTTGAAGAAATATTCAATGTGAGTTCTCTTGGGTGGCTAGCTTGGAAAAATCAATACTAACGACTCCCTGTAGGATCCGCATCCAGTACGAGCTTCGCTACACAAGCGAAAAGTCGCAGTCGTCGAAGAGAAAGGTGGCGTCCAGGCCGTTGCGGTCAAGGAGGATGTCGTTTGACCAATCTGAGAGCGCATCAGCACTTTGTACCGATAGGTTTCGCGATTTGTACTAGGGGCCTCCGGCACATGTGCCTTAGGCTGGGACCTTGCTTTCATACAGCCTTCTTCCATATATATCTGGATAGAATCTGGGAAAAGAACGAAAACCAGCAGAATTCAACACAATAATCTTATATATGAAAACACAACGGTGCCGGCATTGACAGAAAGTCATGCGGACGCACGTGAAACACGTGATATTCACGTGCCACCCCTCGGATACCGCCCGCCGGTCACGAGCGGCCGTGTGGGCACTGGAAATTCCTTTTCTTATTACTGTAGTCCATGCCACAGGCACGGACGTTTATACTTGTGTCACTGAAAACAACAGTATCATCACCAAATTAGGCTTGATCTTATGACTCTGTTGCGACTGACCTATAAGCATCTTACAACCTCTAAAATCTGCTGTAACCAGTCACACCCCTTTTAACTGGTTTGTAGACGCCTTGAAAGGGCCTCTTCAAATTCACAAACCCTTGTAATATGACTAGTACCCTTTCTTTTGCTATTATGGTTTCATAAACCTACAGGCTGTCATGTCCTTCTTCAAGGCCAACAAACTGTCTGATCATTTTGGTTGCTTTCAAGGTGCTATGAACATACCATCTACTCACTACTATTGACTTGCTCAACAGTCCATCATAATGATCTAGTTTGTTTCCAAATCCTAATAAGATACTTGTAGCTCTTGTGAGATTTTCTATTTCTTATTGCCATTAGTTTTACAAAGTGTACCTAATATCAGAGCTAACAACCTTTCTAATCTAACAACGACTAATCGGGCTGATAAGTAGTTGTTCATCTATAGAACGGTGATCTGACAGGGTTATGCCAGGCAGCCATGGCGAAATATTGTCTGCGCCTTACGATGATTTCGAGTAAACAAACCATGATTGCTTGTTGTTGGTAGTCATGACAAATACAAAGCGCTACGAGTAGTACGAGGCTACCAACACATCTACAAACCAACCATACAGATACCAGTGACGATGACGATAAAACGGCCCAAGAAAGACATTTCAGGAAGGAGCACTGGTTGCGATTCGCTGGGCAGCGCGGTTTCGACATTCCAGAAATGCCTCATCCTCCGAATCCTCTTCCCCGTCCCCCGAATGTGATTCCGCCTCGACAACACTCCCGAAGGTACGCCTGAAGAGAATGAGAATGGTTAACGAGAAAAAAGGGACATACTGCGTCAACCATTCGAGGGTGTTCACACCCCAATCTGGCAGATCTGGGTTGGTATCGTCGTCGAAAGCAGCAAGCACCTTGTTGTATAGATCCAGGAATTTATACTTGCGGCCCTCTGAGTTTGTCCAATGCGGGACGTTGCTGATCGCGACACGGATCTGCATGAAGTCAGGAACCATAACAGTTGAAAAAGAGAAGAAAAATGTACTTGTACGACAACATAAGCGACAATATGTGCAGTGACTTGATGGACGTTGTGGATTGCTGCGAGGCAACCAGGAGTCAGCTCATCGTCTGGTTCGTGGGTCGCATCTGCTCTGGTGATGAATAACATCCGGATACCCTGTCATCGTCAGATGGAGGAAGATCAAGGTCCAACAACATTGAGCACCCACTCGAACAATGGCCACGTTTCTCAAAAAAGGTTGCGCTGGTATGCGGTCGAATCCCACCCGTCATCCGGATAGCAAAAAGAAGGAAAACGTCTTGAGGAGGGTTGGTAGGTTTTGGAGGCGATCTGGCTTAAGATTCTGGAGGTTGATAAAAATTCGGTTTGAATAGATAGAGAAGGAGCAGCTTACACTGTGGCCTTCTCCGAAAGTACTGGAGCATCGAGTCTATGGTTGTAAGAAATATTGTCTCGAGTGAACGAACATATCTTACTCGAGGGGCTTTCCATACGAGATGGGGGGGGAACACCACGCGATCGTTCCAAGGCATGAGCAACATCCGTAGTTGGGGGTGTGCCAGTCCGCGCTGAGCTTTGTTCATTCCGGGTTCGATAGATGGAAAGAACTGGTCTTGGCCCGGCACAGGAAGAAGGATCCGAAGTCCATTCTTGAATGTACTTGTATCTTGTGTCCGAGCGTCTCGTGCAGCTTTGGCCAACTGACAATGTCGGATATGAATGTCCGCTCACAGATAAGTGAAGGAACGCACTTTTTCGCCGAGCGACTTCCACGGACCGGGTTTTGTTTTTGATTCGAGATACATGAACTGGATTACTGGCAACAACTTGGTTCGACAACTTGAGATCATCGTATTGAAGACGGCGGCATGATGAAGGGCACGTTCGCTCGAGTACGATTAGCGAAGGTCGGCGAAAGTAAGGAACAAGAATGCCTTGAAGGTAGCGTCAGGAAACTCTCTTGCGCCGTTGTAGAGTCAAGCGAGTTGACGCAACCATATTCCAAGATCCGTCGCATGTCCCAGAAGGCGTCAGCCCCTCGAGGTATAAATTTGGCAGCGTCCACGAGTTGCTGGAAGGCTGACCTATGGTATCTGAAAACGGTTCAGCTCTGAGCTGATGAACGGGTAATTCATACGCGTTTCGAGGCGGTCCCTTCCGTCTTCCGAGTAGAGATGGTGGATCTGAGCTCTCTGTGAGGGGAAGCTGTCCGAGATGTCGAAGAATGTCGTCTAATTGCACTTGTTGCTCCTGGGATAAAACAGGGAGAGCAGGAGTCGTCGGTACGCTGTCGGTCATGTCAGTGTTGGAAAGGAACGAATCAGGGTCCTACTCTTACGACCAGCGCAGCTCTTATGCTCGTCGTTAAACCCTAACAACTTCAACGAAGGTGATGAGTTGATAGGAAGGAAAGGAGGCAATACAGTGCCTGATGTCACAGGGTGACAAATGATCACATCATGATCGTTGGCTCAAGCAACTTCAGAGGGGTCAACCATAAGTTGGCATTGTTCTACGAGCAGCGGTAGGGAGTAGTAGTAGTAGTAGTAGTAATTCTAGGACGAAGCAATCAAAGCAGTGAGCACAAAGCAAGCAGCAGTCAACAAAGCGGTGAACGAAGCGGTATGAGTAGTCCATGGGGTAAATAGAACGAAGTAGGGATACTTTGCGTAGATGTTTGGCGGTTTGGCGGTCTGGCGAAATTGTTGTTACAAGTGGGTCAATACGTAGCGGAAGACGAGCAGCCATTTAGTTGGGATACCTGCCAGTCATGAGTGAACAATTCACAAGCGAATTCAAGCAATTACTTGATGTTCTTGACTAATCCCAGCGAACGGCTCAAAAGTTGTGGACCTTGAACGGTATCCTTCATCATCTTCTTGACGTCGCCGAGGATGCGATGATACACTGGACGAGCGTTGGAAACAGTCCATCGGCTCTTCTGGCGCCAATGACAAATCACATAATCCATCTATGAAATGTGAGGACGGAAGCGAGGAAAAAAGACACCAGACATACGAGGGTTCCCACATATGCATAGACAGCAAACGGAATCTGATATTCGAATAGAGTGGGCTGAAGAAATGCGCCATAGCTTTCATGATTGAGAAACCACATGATAATCTCAGTCGTCGCAGGGTGGGCCAAAAAGGACTCGTCCGCAGTCAATCGCTGCGATGAGATCAGAGGTCAGATAACAAAGCGAGAAAGAGCGCACAGTCCGATAATCCTCGAGAAAGGCGAACCGTTCGCTCCACTGTTCGACCTGATCATCGATGTATTGCTCGCATTCAGCTTGTGTCCACGGTGCCTTGGTGGTAGGATTCGCTGTCCCGACGGTAGGTACGTTCATGTTTCGCAGGATGATAGCCTTGATGGCCTTGCACTGGTGACCACGCTCTCTCGACGCTTGGTCAGAAATCTGAAAAGCGTCGTCAAATGATATCGTTGAGCGATACGAGAGATGCTCACGTAAGAGGTCAGTTTGGCATCGTAAAGCTCCAGGAAATCTGTCGATAGTGAGGTTGGTTGTGGTGTGGATGGATGTTAAAAACCTTCAGATAAATGGATGGACGACGTTGCGTTGATATTATTTCTGGCTTCTTCCAGAGCATCGGAAAAACGATTGAAGCTTCTTCGGGGATGACTGAAGCCAGAAGAAGTCCAAACATCGAACTCGGTGGTGAAGCGAGCCATCTGCACGCAGGGGACCCATTGAGGATGTTCTCGCCGGAACTGATCATAGAATTGCGCCTTCACGAGATCACTCTTGGCAAGATGCTCCGACCATTCGTGAGCTTCGTCGTCCAACTGATCCTCGTCGACGAATGGCTCGGAGTATAGCTGTAAGGGGGGTAAGAATAGGTATTGACGTTGCGCAAAACCCCTTACACTATTTGCACTAGATGGAAGCGACAGTCCCGAAAGAGAAACACTTGGTGGTGGGCTGTTCGGCGTCCCCACGGTTGACTATGAGTCAAGATTCAGTGTGATTTATGCGCAATACAAGCATTGATTACCATGATGTCGCGTTCAATGCCGTTCACCGTTGACTGGGAGGGAAGCATTTTTCGGGGATCGTACAATGAATTGAGGACGTTAGGATCATATTGGAAGACAAGCGGTGGGCGTGGTGGCGGGGGAAAGTAGGACAACGCCCCAGCTGGAAGTGTCGCTGCCTTCTCATTAGTGTTTGACTTGTTACCGTTGTTGGAGAATTGAGTGAGAAGAAGTTTCGTGAAGTTCGCGTGACATTGGATGACCTAGACAAATAGACAACATCAGTCAGTCGCAAGGAGAAACGGTGTATAAAGTTACCATCTGCAGTGTATTTGGATTGTTGAGAGTATTCTGGGACTGGGGCATAGTAGATGCATATTCTAGGCATAGATTGAGACAGATTAGTTGTAGGGAGAAAAACCGACCAGCAAGATCGGGCGCGGGGCCTGAAATTGGAGAGAAAGGTCGATTCTCCTCCATAAGGGAGGCAAGTTGGTCGTTGCCGATTGCGTTTGAAGACATGTGAGATCACAGTGGGTGGTGGAATGAGTCAAAGAGAGAGCCAGTGCGAGTCACACATTGATGGTTGATATATATGATTGCGTGACCGAATTGTCACAGGAACTGTCACGTTTTCACCTTAGCCTGAGATCCTTCAAGTTGCGAAGTCTCCTCCAACTCATTACGGTGAGCCTGTCGGCCACGGTATCGCCAGCAGCTGAAGGGGGAATCATAGCAGTCCGAAGTCGACACAGTCGAACTAATTATCTATGGACTCAGTGTCCCATCCATCCGCCTCACCAGTGCCAGGCAACCCTGCAGACGCGTCAACTCCTCTTCTTCACTCTGTGTTATCGGAAGGAAGAAGCGTTATTGTAAGTGTTTGAATCTACTTCTGTCTCAAAACCCAAGACATGCAGAAATTAAACTTGCGAAATACAACGTTATCTTTCCCCCACACCGAAGAAGGGGCCGACCGTATTCTTCATCTCCTCCAAGCCAAGAAACAACGGTACATATCGGAGGAGAAAATGGTTGAAATACGAATTCACGAAGTCCTGCAATACCTCGACATTTTGCAGAGAGAATTGAAGGAAGTCAAGAGCGACCTTGTAACTGCCAAAGATGACATCGCTCGCTCACCTGGCCATTCGCTCTTTGGGCCTTCCGGTTGGCGTAGCCGACGGGATATCTGAAACCTGCACGAACTGTATTTCGGAGGATTAACCTTCGCAAACACAGAGCACCCTCTGTAATTAGAGTTGTTTGTTCTCTCACTCGTCTCTCTCATCTGTTTATTTCTCCCTCCTCCGAATCTTGTTGACTGCCAGTGTACCAGTATTTCATCTGTCGTAGTGTAACCGGCGATAACTCATATTTCATCCTTGTATCTCCCCTACGCTCGTGCCTACTGTAAGAGGTGTCGACACTAATTTGTTTGTTTTATCTTCCGAGACGCATTTCGGCGCGCCAGTGCGCGGTTCGTTGATACATTTCAGTTTGTGTGCAGAGGAATCAAAAACAAATGCAGCAGATGTAGTAGTAGTAGACGTAAGCTAAGCAAAGCACCCCCAAAGACCCTGTTTAGTCGATCTCCTCCACAGCAGATGTGGTTTCCGTGGCGGCAGCCGTTGGTTGGGCGGTCGAGGTTTCTGTTGTCTCTTCCTCCTCTTCCTCATCAACATCGAGACCAAGTCTGTTTGTAGCATGTTAGACCAGTAAAAATGAAAAAAAAATAGGAAAACTAACGCAATCATTCGGTGGATACGCTTAGCGAAAGATGTCGGTTCATCGAGAGCAAAGCCAGAAGTGAGCAGCGCTGTCTCGAAGAGCAGATAGGTCAAGTCGCGAACAGACTTGTCGCCCTTGTCCTCCGCAACCTTACGCTTGAGCTCCTTGACGATGGGGTTGCTCGGGTTCAGTTCGAGGTCTTTTTCGAGGCCATATACGACGACATGGATGAGTCACGAAGTGCCTGCGCCTTCATGATACGCTCCATGTTGGATGACCAACCGAATTGGCCAGTGACAAGAACGCAAGGAGAGTCGGTGATGCGGTTGGAGATGACGACCTTCTCGACCTTGTCGCCAAGAGCATCCTTGACAGTGGTGCAAAGGTCGCTGAAGGCAGCAACCTCAGCCTCACGTGCTGCCTTCTCCTCTTCCGTCTCCTCAAGCTCCAGACCCTCTTTCGACACACAGATGAGCTTCAAGTTCTTGCCATCGAACTCCTTCAGTTGTGTGATGGCGTACTCGTCAATGGGGTCAACGAGCAGCAGAACTTCGAAGCCCTTCTTCTTGAGGACCTCAAGGAATGGTGAGTCGCGGGTGGCCGCCAAAGATTCGCCGGTGAGGTAGTAGATGGATTTTTGGATTTCGGGCATGCGGGTAATATAGTCTGCAAAGATTATTAGATGAGTTCATAAGCAAGAAAGGAAAATATACCTTTGAGCGAGGTCTGCTCCTCAGACGACTTGGTCGAGAAGAAACGCAGGAACTCGGCGAGTTTGCTTCGGTTTTGGGCATCTTCGTGGATACCAAGCTTGAGGTTCTTGCCGAAAGCCTCGTAGAAATTTGGTGAAGTTGTCCTTGTCCTCCGTAATTTCAGCCAGAACCTCCATGCACTTCTTCACAATGTTCTTGCGAATGACCTTGAGGATCTTGTTCTGCTGCAACGTCCCACGGGAGATGTTGAGGGGCAGATCCTCTGAGTTGACGATACCCTTGACGAAGTTGAGGTATTCGGGAATAAGCTCCTCGCAGTCGTCCATGATGAAGACACGGCGGACGTAGAGCTTGATGTTGTTGCGCTTCTTCTTGGACTCGAAGAGATCGAAGGGTGCCCTGAACATGGTCAACAGGGAAGCAACAGATTGAATAACGACTTACCGCTTGGGAATGAAGAGAATGGCCTTGAATTCGAGTTGACCTTCAACGAGAAGTGCTTGACAGCAAGATGATCCTCCCAATCGTTGGTTAAGCTCTTGTAGAACGACCCGTACTCTTCAGTCGTGATTTCTGACGGGTTGCGAGTCCAGATGGGCTTGGTTTTGTTGAGCTCCTCGGTAGTGATCTTTTGCTCCTTAACCTTCTTCTTCTTATTGTCTTTCGGCGCATCATCTTCATCCTCGACCGCCTCGATCGGCATCAGCCTCCTCCTCCTCGTCATCCTCAACTTCCTATAGATCACGTTAGAACAGATGTAGGAGAGGGGAAAAAGACTACTAACCTTCTCGACCTCCTTCGTGACAGCGAGTTTGATTGAGTAAAAAATGAACTCGGACTTTTTCGCGACAATCTCCTTGATCTTCTTCTCCTCGAGGTACTCGAGTTGGTCCCTCCTTCGGGTACAAACGGATTTCAGAACCACGTCCGATTGGGGGGTTGACGGTGTCGAGGGTAATAGTGAAGGTCCCACCAGCGGCAGACTCCCAAATGTATGGCTCGTCATCGTTGTGTTTGGAAACAACCTGAACAGACGAGGTAGGCAGAGTAGAAACCGACACCGAATTGACCAATCATGGAGATGTCGGCGCTAGAAGAGAGGGCCTTGATGAAGCCTCTTGTGCCAGAGTTGGCGATGGTACCGAGATTGTTCACCACATCAGCCTTGGTCTGGCCAATACCCGTGTCGTGAATGACCAGCAGCGTTTCTCCTTCCCACTCACTCTCCATCGCGTTGTTGAGCTTGCGCCAGACTCTGTTTAGTAGCCGAAACAGCTTTATTACTGCTTGCGATCTTGGTCCCTTGGTCCCTGAACCGCTTGAGCAGGGTAGCATGTTCGCCCTCAAGCACCTTGCTGCGATCCCGAATCACCCGAACCTCCTTCAACTCCTCGTTGTCCGCTTGCCCAACAAAATGAGACTTGTGAGCATTCTGATCTGGGCAGACGTATGTGGAGATCATCCCAATGCCTGCTGAGACGCAAGCTGGTCGTGTTGTTTTTGCAGCGACACAACCGATTGTAATGCGGTTTCCTTGTCCCGTGCCGCAAATTTGAAGCTCCAACGCATCAACCTGTACGAATAAAGTCAACCTAGCGAAACAATGCGAAGGAAAAACCCACCTTGGCTTTCAAAGTCGCTCTCTCGCTTGAAACCTCCCTCGCCCCTTTCTCCAGTTCTTGGATTCTCTCTTGGTTGGCTTGATGTGTCGCGTCGCAGGCTTGCAGCCTTGCCAATGCTTTTGCCAGCGCATCTTCCAATTCCACGTTTCGTGCTTCGACCACACTCAACGTTGCAGCCTTCTCGCGGCCTCCACTTGAGCCCCATTGAGTTTCGCCCGCATCCGGTCTCGTCCCCCTTCCACAATCGACAGCTTCTCCACGAGCACCTCCTTCTCCACACGCACTTGTCCATGGGCACCCCCTCGCTTTGGCCATCTGTACCTGGAACTCGGTGTTGTTCCGCCTCAGCTCGTCCATCTCCGAGTCGCGCTTGTTCGCATCTCTCGTCAACGCAAATTCCGCATGGGCTCCGTGTAAGATGTTGGGAGCAGCGGCAAATGTTTCGGGTAACGCACCGACCTGTTCAAGGACTTCATTTCGCAAGGCGAGAAGCTCGCGAGCATTCGAGCCAAGGGACTTCTGTCCGCCAGCAAGGTTATTAACGGCTGTCTTGATAGCGAGGACATGCTCGTTGGAAGGTCTGGGTGTGAGGGCACGTGACCATTGGCAGGTGGCTGCTGTGGCTCTGCTGGTGATCAACAGGGGCATTGTCTTCTTCCGAATCAGAAGCGATACTGAGACGTTGTCGCTTTTCTCGGCCTTGTGTTTTGAACGGTGTTGATTCCGCTGTTGGCTGCTCTTGGATGAGAGGTTGGGGCTCGGGGAAGTCAATAGTGGCACTCCTGCTGGTAGCTTGAATGTGAATGCGCCAGGTTTGAACTCGGGGCCGCGGTATTCAAGCCAAATGAAGGCTTGGACTCCATCGCAGCAGGATTTAGCGGAGTCCCCAATGAAGGCAGGCGAGAGTGTGTGATCAACGGCGCTTTCGGAGGAGGGGGCGCGCCAAAGACAAATGGCGGAACAGGATCAGCGAAGACAAACGGCTTTGCATGCAGGTTTGAGGCGTAGGACTGCAGGTTGTCGGAAGGAAAGACAAGAATGCGCTTGAGCGGGATTATGTGTTGTGAAGTTGCCCGAAGTCGCTCGAGAATGTGGCGGGAGAGAAAGACCTTGAGGGTGAGCTGGTGTAGTATTGATGCATCGCCTCTTCCTCGCTTGGATTGGAAATCATGTCGTCGTCGAGACGTGATTGTATTGTCGGGCGGACGAGGGAAGTGAGGAACCCGTCTCGGTTGGTCAGCCAACCTCATGTCCATCGTTGTAAACGTCGTTCAGCCCGCTCTTGCCGAGCCCGCTCCTAATCTGAGGGGTTCGAAAAGTCGCACAAACTCTAGAAGAATGGTCAGAAAAAGATTCAGGTTCAATCGGGCACTGACCTCGTCCTCAGAAGACTCTGCAACCCGATACTGATGACCACCGTCGTCAGAACCCGTCCATTCGTCCACGTCAACCTGGTCTAATTCCATATCCTGTGACTCATCTCCAGATGCAATTGGCTCTGCATCAATCCGCTCATGTATCCGTCCACCATTAATATTATTGCCCACAATGCCGCCAACGGACTGCAGCGATAATGCCGCCGAAAGCCTTGAAACATGGCGCGAATGACGAGCGGTTTGTACACCATCATCCGTCCTCGTCGCAGTTTGTTCTGCCTGATCGTTGGTGACAAAGCTGTCCTCTTCCGTTTCGTCCCTCCTTTCGTAGCACCCAACCCCAACCCGCGCATGAAATCAGGTCTGCTCTCCCTGCTTTCTGGTCGAGAAGTGGCTCGAGGTGCAGTAAGTGACGGCATGGACATCGGGACTCGTCCTTGTGGTGCGTGAATTTCAAGTTGCGCGCAAGAGGCGCATCGTTATTAGAGTCGCTTAATGGGTGTTGGTCCGCCAGCAATAATGCATCTGGCCCGATTACTCGTCGATATATTGGTAGACGTTGGCGGTTGCGCAAGAGATATGCTGTAGCCATGACGATTCGTCGTGAATCTTGGAGGTTGAAAGCGGGGGCCCGGGGAGGGCGGAAGACCAGTAAATGGCAGCTGTGGTCGAGGAGGAATTGATGGTGCGAAGGTGCGAGAGAGCCTGTGGCTTGAGCTTGCTACAGCTTGTTCAGTTTGAAGAAGAGAAAAGCAGAATCGGCTAGAGAGGAGATCTGCCTTTGTGTGAAATCTAGACACGTAGACAAAATGGAGTGGAGACTGACCGTGTTTGCTGACGGCTACACCTAGAACTGCTTTCGGGGGCGCCTATACTGGGTCGTCGTGTATTCCTTCCAGAGAAGGGAGTGCCCTGGACAGGTAAAGGAGGCGGGACGAACTGCTGGCCACCCAGCAGCGAAGGTATTGAAAAGTGACCATGCTGCATTGCGGAGGGAGTGAATGCGGCAATGCTGGCGCTGCCTCGGTGTGGGGTTGGGCAAATTGGGTTCGGAGGGGAAACATCCCTCCCTGCAAAGCAGTTGGGAGCGCCATGGATGGGCGGCTTGTTGTTGTGGGGGTAGATTCGGCCAACTTGAAGCCAAAACGGCGCACGAGAAAGTAGGTATTGCGAATCGCTGGAGAGGAATATAACTGAAAGGGTGTTAGTTGACGGCGCAATGAACTCAGAACGGAGGACGAGCCTGAGCGAGAGCAAACGAGAGTGAGGTCACCAGCCAAGATGACAAGATCACATCACGAAGTGCATGTGAGCGATTTTGGTGAATGCAGAAGCCAAATTCTACTTCCAGTTCGAATAGGACAACTTGAAGGTTAACTCAAGCAACAACTATTAGTTTTGGCGGAGAATAGACTTCGAGGCGTGTTTACTACAATGGTTCTCTGTCTACTAGTAGTTATGCCTCGAGACTGCGTTCGCGTTGTTCCTCCGAGTCGGAATGGTCCGAGGATACCTCTACAATCTCCATCGAAACGTCGTCAACTTGAACCGCTCCGATAGCTCTGTCGAGAGCACGAACGGCAACCCGCAAAGAGACCAGGAGGCCACGAGCTTGGGATCGCGCAGTGGTGAGGGCACCTTCCGCTGCGAGAAGTAGTTGACGGTCTGTGGCGTGCTGGCGGGTCAGAACGCCCACTTGGGTTTCGAGCTGGACAACTTGGTTGAGCGTGGACTCGCGGCTACGGATAACTTCGGTGATAGTGGCCCTGAGCGACGTAATCTTCTTGCGTTTTGTGAGAATATCGTTGTCGAGGTAGTGGATGTGCTTTTGACGAGCGGCAGCATCGATTTCCAGGAGTTTTGTCCGTCGCTTCTCCTGATCCAACTCTGTCTCCAACACCACAACCTTCAGCTTCTCTGCTTCGATCTTCTTTGTAAGACGAATGCGAATGTCTTTAGTCTCGTGTTCGGCCGCTTGTCGTGCGTCACGAAGGGAGTTTTCGGTTTGACTGAGAGTTTTCGAGAGGGCGGCGTGAGAGGTGAGTAGGGCAGTGTGATCGGCTAAGATAGCTTTGTGAACCTTCTCCAACTTCTCGTAGCCCTTGACTGGAACATTGTCAGTCATTGCGTAGAAACGAGCTGAATGATATTACCTTTTCCCTCGGCTGACTCCTGAGTTGTAGAGCTTCTTCCACCACTGGCGGCTATGCTGCGGCTTGTGTCAGTAGAAGAATAGTGGGCGGAGAACAGGGATGAACATACAGACGAGGAAGCAACGAGGGGATAGGCGCTGCCGTTGACGTTCGTCTGAGCCGTGACAACACCAGTGTCGTTGGGAGTGAAGAGGCTCTGACCCTGGCTTTGACCGTCGTTCGAAGACTCGGAACCTGGTGTCGTTGACTTGCCAGTGGCTGCACTGGCAGGGGTCTTGTTGGGAGAAGGACGGTAACGGAAAGCCGCATACTCAGACACGTTGTCAGAGCTTCGATCGTAGTAATTCATGGTAGTCACGGTTGGGTGCGGAAGGGATTCTGGAGGATTTCGGCTCCAGAGTAAGGCATTTAAAAGGAATCGGCTCTATTGAAGGATGAGCGGTTCCATCAACCCTCAATGTAGCCATCAATAATGCCAGACCAACCGTAAATTCGCCAACAGATCGATGTATTAACATTCTAAAGCACTTGGAATTGACCGGCATATTATTGACGACATCGCATCCAGGGAGGCATACACAGTTCAAGTAAGTTATTAGCACGAACGGAGAACTTCAAAAAACTTGAACAACAACAACGAAGTCAACTACTATTGTCAAAGCCAAGGCTAACGCGTATAGCTTCATTGCCATGTAAAGAAGCGTCATCATCACTACCTTGAGTTGAATCCGACTCGGAGTCTGAACCGCTTTGCCCATCCACGTACTCAAGATCGGCACCCTCCTCTCCCTCCCGTATCATCATCCTCCATTGAGGGCGCTTCAAGTTGCCTTTCTTCATTGATGTCCTCCATCTCGACATCCTCAGCTGCAGCGGTCGCTTCGAGATCGTCACTTTCGTCTCGGAACCTAGCAGCAACCTTCCGATGGCCGATGGCGTTGGTATGGTATCGCATGAGCATATCTCGATCAACGACCCTAGAAAGAAATAAGTGAGCTGATCATAGTCGCAGAACGAACTCACATATTAGCATAATAGTATTTCCAATCTTCGTCATGCTCTGTCCTTCGGAGAATCGCAGATTTTGGAAGATAGTCGCGTGTCCGTCCATGGTGAAACGCGGGTATGAGATGAGCACCTCGAACGACATCGGATCGAGAAAGCCGAAAGCATCAGGACTTTGGAAAGGCATGTAGGAGAGACGTGGCAAACGTTTTTCCCGGAAGCCACATGGATAGCTAATGTCTCTTTGCAACCATCGGACCCATAGGAATTCCATACGTTCAGCCTTTCGTGGCTGGTCGGCCAGAACGGCATAACAATGGAATATGCCCAGTAACTCGCCATACCAGTATCGGTGATGGTCCTCGGGGTCTTGTGCGTGAACGATAAGAAATTTGCGTGTCCGGGGATTGAGAACATCTTGATCACGTTGAACATCGTACGTGGTGTAGTTGACACGCATAGTTGCGTGGGTGTAGATGAGGTCCCCTTGGATTACAACGCTGATAAGTTCCTCGTCGTTGAATTGTGTGTCGATGTCATTGTCCTCAAGGTTCAGAAGGCGCTGGCGGAGATGCGACTTGAGATGGCGGACAAAATCCTACCATTCATTAGAGGGAGGACGAGAATGAGAAAGATGGCAGACCTTGAGAACAGGGTCCTGTTCTGGGGGATCAATTTCCTGTAGACAGTCAGTATCCAAAAGAGTTCGCGTGGTTTAACAGACCATGCGATTGATGGGCGGGCCATCGCCTTCATCTTCGCTCTCGGTGGAATCACCCATAATGTCTGCTAGGTGCCAAAACGTTCGCGTTGAATTGGAGATGTAATGATGCTGCTCTGGGGGAATGTAAGCAGAATACCGGGGGTTAGCCTCTGGATGCAATGCCACTTGGAGCCTTCGTTGACGCTTGGAACGTGCCCGCAAAATGTGTTTGACGGTTGTTGCCGCTGGCGCGACTGGTTTGCTTCCTGCTGATTTGAAGCGTTTTCTGTTCTCCCACATCGTTCGCATCAGTCTCCTCCGTCGTTCATGAGCAGCAATTTGACCGACATGGTTGCGTTTGTTGGTGCGCTTGTAGAAATGCTTCACCAGCCGATGAGCCAGCTCACCCTAGGTAAACTGTCAAATCTTCCCATGAGAATGTGGCAACTATTCACGTTCTGTGTCGAGGTAGAGTCGGTGGTTCCGAAGCGCAGAATGGCATCAGGATAGTCGGGAAGGGCGTGTAGTTTATAGGTAATCAGATTGAAGGGCTTTTCGAGCTTTTTAGTTCTCTGCTTCCCGGGCCTCTCTTGGTTGCTGGAGGACGGGTTGATGAAGGCACTGTTGATGACTGCGTCGACACCCCAGCGGCTGACCCGTCAACCACATGTGTTGGGCTGGTGGATGGGGCTTTCTTTTTTGTTCTCCGGCGTTCTTCTCGGGGTAGCTCAAAAGTTTTGATGTCGGCTGTTTCCCGAGCAAAGCGTCGAATAGTCGAACAGAGAGTCGTAGTAGCAGCGCGAAAAGATTCGATTGACGAGGTCGTGTGCATGCAGAGCTTGGCGTAACCATGCCAGAGTGCAAGCTCGAAGCACAACTGATCGACCAGGCTTTGATGCGACGGGAAAAGTCCTTCAAGAACCGGCAGAATACACTGAAACAGTCAATACTGCATAGCAGAAGTGATTCCAACAACTGACTTGAAGGATGTCTTCGTAGTCACGGGCGGCAGCGTATTTGAGTTCTGACACATTATGGCTGAACGAGCGAATGGTAGCACGACCGAAGGTAGGAATTTGGCGAAACCTATTCAACATGAGAAAGATGGAGCCGATAGATTTGAATTGAAACAAACCGCTGATCAAATTCGTCTGTCTTTTTAAAAAGAGTGGAGCATGCGAATAAAATGCACAATAATACTTTTAGCAACACCTAGTTCAATTTCATGTAAAAGGTCTGGAACGAACATGCTGAAGAGGTTGAAGGGAGTTTTCGGCGTGTCTAGTTTCGAGAAAGCGTTCTAGTAAGAAATGAGAGATGCATTGGGGGTGCATGGAGAAACGAACACGTAGGGACCCAAGAGTCTTTCTTCAAGATAGCATTGAGGCTGGAGCCAATAAGAGAGTTGCCGTTGCTGAACATAGCTTTTCTTGCGTCCTCGATGGTGGCACGTCTCGGATGATTATCGATACGGACATGCTTCCTGCGCTTCATGTCATTGACTGTTCCAGTTTCGGATATTTTCTTCTTTTCTACGAAACAGCGAGGGCAAGGCTTTCCACCAAGACTCCTAATAGTCGCAAGAAGAACCCTGTTTTCTGGTAAGTGAGAGATATTTGAACAGGGAAAATTTTACTTCTCAGGGTAGTCGGCGCCATAGATGAAAAAGCGAGGGAAAACAAGTCGAATGATACCATCCCAACACTTGATTTTGATACCATTGTCGTACGCGTCCATGAAGTTGTCGGAGAGGAGGAGGTTCCAGATTTCATGGATCAGCTCCCGCTTGAGGTGGGTGTATACCTCATCAGGCATGTCACATCCATATTGCTGTCTGTAAGAATCACGGACAGAGTCAGGAAGCTACGAATCGTGGATAAGGCTGTATAAAGGAGAAGTCAGAGCATCTTACTGATGCGAAGTACGCTTGATGAAAGCCCGCTTTGGATGTCGGCTTGCCACGAAAGTCTTTAGGATGATTACCGAAGAAAGTGTAAGCAGGCCACAGCGAGGCCGTGCCAAATTGAGCCAAATGAGTTGCGTCTGACCATTCCATGAGAGCCAGAACGATGCTCTCAACAGGATCATCAGCAGTTTGCGGCGGTGGAGGTTGAGGGATTGCATGATATGCCTCGAGCATTGCGGCCGACGTATAGATTTCGCCGAAAACCTCCTCGTGGTTTTTAGGAAGGGGGGGCAGTCCATGTTCATCGACGATAGTAGGCAGCTCCTCTGTGACAAAGTTGGGCATCGTTTCAGGCATCGTTCCATTCTGCGGGCCCGGGGCTGCTCTCAGGGAGAAAGGTGTCGTGTGCAACTGCTGGAAGAGAGGGCCTTGAAGTACTTCTTGGATAGGATCCAGAAGTGGGCGATAATAGATATTGTCGACGATGAAGACTGGCGCGTTACTTTCTGCCTGGTGGACGCCGACGCATGGTAGTTTGAGCATAACTGCTCCGCGACTCCATTTGTCGTTGATGCCCAGTGGTTCGACGCCGTGCTTATCGAGCTTATCCAGAAACTTCTGGGTTGAAAACGGTGTAGGGAGCTCGCTTAATGAGACCCCATCGGATTGAGCTTCTGCGTTTGGAAGGAGGATGCTTTGAATAAAGCGGTCAAAACCCGCAATAGATTGGGGGTTTTCCTCTTCGACATGATATTTGATAAGGTGGGCGACAGACGGGTTGGGAAAAGGATAAAACCAAGGCTCCGTTGGGAGTGGTATGCTTTCGGAAGATCGTTCGTCGTGCTGGGCGACCCGATACAAATCCTTGGGTTGAACGAAAGCGTCAGGATCATGCGTGGGTCGGCGGGGATATACTTTATAGAGTCCAAACTCGTTTGGCTCCGTCTGTAGCCACTGTTGAGACGGTGCTGCTGGTGGTGCTGCATCGATTTCTGGTTGAGATTGAGACGGAGGGAGAGAAACCGGCCCAACGCCGGGATTTGTGAGAGCTGAACGCAAACGTCGTAACCTCGGAGCTGGCGGAGGCGCTGCATCGTTGAATTTCGCGGGAACACGCGTCCGTCGCGCAGGTAAGCCACTCTTGCGTTTTACGGGAGGAGCGTCATCGATGGGAATCTATTGCATGTGTGAGAGGGACAAAGACTCCGCGAGAGACACCTACAACTTGAGCTGGCCCAGGAGGCGCGGGAGGAGGGGAGGCTGAGACATCATGATGTGTTTTTGCTCTTGCAGCAAAATCTTCTTGGACCCGAGAAACGTGCATCAAATGCAGCCTTTTGAACCCAGAACACGCTCTGTCATGGTTGGTTTTGGCTTCACCGAGGTTTCGGAGCGGACGCTGACAGAGTTCGCATGCGTATCGTTGTTTGGGCATGGTTTGAACTTGAAAGCCTGAGCTGACAAAGCCGTCGCCCGGCCGGCGCCGCGTGACCTGAATTTTCGGATCGGCCTTCGGTACCGTCTGCAGCGAACTATAATTAGTTAATGTAATCCATCAGTAGAAGAAGGTCGTTATTGCCTTCCGTGTCGAACTCAATGTTATTCACCCCCAAACACCGCTGCAAGACTTTACTATAAGAGCGACAACGAAAACTATTGCCACCATCTATAATCCCCTAATGTCCTATACGCCTGCCGGTCACCACTCTTCCAATGGCCCGCCGCCAGCGGCCCTGGGCCAGCCACGGTGCGTGACCGTCGTCGATGCCTCATTACTATGCTAATACCACAGTAGCAACTTGCCAGTGACTCTTGTGCATGTCCACCAAAGACTTCTCGGCGACTACCATGCCCTCCACGAACAACATATGCTGCTCTCATCCGACTTCCACTTCCTCCAACTCGTCTACAATGAGCTCCTCACCTACTCCATCGATCTGCACGAGGATCATTGTCGCCTGACCGACATCGCCAACGGCCAATTCATCAACATCTTCGACCTTCACAACGAGTTGGGGCGTACTCGAGCGTATATCAACGAGCTGGAGGACAAAATACGCCGCCTCACCCGCCAGTTAGATGAAGAAATAGCGCGGTCCAATGACGAGATACAATCTCGGAAGGCGGAGGTGCTGCGTCTCAATCGTCTGTTGGCTCAACAAGACGCGGACATGCTGGGAGGTGGCGAGATGGACTCGGAGAGCGTCAACCCTGAGGAACTGATGCAGATGTATGTTGGGGAGAGCCTTGGCCGCCAACTCGACTAAGAACACCATCCTTTTGGACTTTTTCACTACATTCATTCACTTAGCTAGTTAGCTGTACTCAAGCTGTACCGCTATTATCGACTCGGACAAATGTTTTTCAAGTTGTGACTCGGATGTGCCAATCAAACAAATCTTCCTCTTCCTTCCACTCTGACTCCTCCAACAGCAAGCCGCGTCTGGTTCGACCTCCCCGGGGAATGGGCGAATGACTCTGCGATCGACATGGTTGAATTTTGCACTGGCAGAACTTGAAGACACTCAGACTGTTACGTCTATCCGAGTCCAAGTGAGTCAATTGACGAGCCTTCAAGTTTGAACTCAATCGACGACAACTGCTGTGGTTAGCTTTAGACGTTCATCGTCTTACGGCTCTCGCCCCTCGACCGTCAACACCCCCTGTTTCCGATACATCTGCAGGCTCTTCGAAGGACATGTCGAGTATTGCACAAGTCGCTGCAATCAAGTGCTCAGCTCTACCGTTCGCTGACAAGGAGAAGAAGAAGAAGAGTGTGCGATGGGAGCCGTAGTGGTAGTATTTAGGCTAAAACCAGTAGGTGTACTTAGGAAATCCATTGCCTAGCCCCCTAGCTATAGCCAGGAGGCTGCATATACCTAGTTATTTAGCCTAGCGCTCCTCCCTGGGCCAAAGCATTATTTTTAGAGAAAATATATTATTATGCTTTATCTGGTATCTTGTGACTGATGGTAACACACCCTTTTAAATAATGTTTTTAATGTGGAACCATTTTTGATTGCCATCAGTACTTTTGATGGCTATATCAGGATACATCATTTTTGTCCAAATTAGGATTGTTATTGATACAGGCTATCCCAACTACATACCGGGTCATCGGCCTGAAGAAAAGGAGTTTAAAGTATTATATATACCTAAATGATAAATAATATGTATTAGATAACAATTTGTTTCGTCATTGATGCTATTGATTAAGAGACTCCCTGCATTGGATTAGCCTAGATAGCGAGGTACACCCAGGCTGTGTGCAGCTAGTGGGCTAGACAATGGATATCCTAGGTGCACCTTGGAGGCTAGGCTAAATCTTACAGCTACGGGTGGCGATGGAGGGACGAGGCCGGACTGAATGCCATTTCGTTCATTCCGGCAGATATATCCTCATCGTGGTTCATGGTCGACAGCTCTTTGCCGCAACGCAGCACGTCTTTAGACGCACTCCGAGTCGCTCCCCGGGTACGCCATTCGATTGGCCACCGCTTATCTGGCGTTGTTTGTCTTGGCAGGAGGAGGAACATGACCCACAATTCGAGCCTGTGATCAAACTCACAGAATAAGTCGGCGATAGCAAAACCCACGAAGAGGATGAGGGTGTGCTTTTCAAGATGTCGGTCTACTTTCACGCGATCTTGGCCCCTCTGACTTTTGTAGGCGCGCCAAATTGTTTCGATTCGACAGTGATGTAGGCTACGAATGGAAAGAGCATGGCACTAGAGATGTCCGTCTCCTCGAGCACAAGGAGACCCACAAGGTCAGGCTGGTGATGCGGCTGGATAAGACTCTCAAAGTCTGCGACAACTATGTTAGTGAGCATAAACCCCATTTTACGTCTTCAGAAAATGGCTTATAGCCCCGCTCAGGCTGCTTTTGTTGTCGACATTCTTACTCAATGACGCTGCATCTCACTGTGCTAGAGCGCAAAAATTTCCCTCGTATGGTCTTGGCTGTCGCAGCGCGTGGTAACTGCCACAACCAGTTCAAGGATACAACTCAGTCATCGAAAGCTCCCTGATCTCCATACTCGAGCAATAATCCGCCACCCTACTTTCTTCTCTCCCTCACTCATCTCATTTCACTGCATCGTGCGAGAGCCGTCCAAAGTCGATGCGTGATTAGTGCCGTCCTTGCTCCAGCACCACCTCCACCGAAAGCTTTGGATTCCAAGCTGAAATCAGCCAGTTGCAACCTCATTATCGGTACGTGCATCCACAAAGGAAAACGTGGTGGGATTCTGACGTGACTATCTAGACACTATCGACTCAACTAAGCTTTGGACCACCGCGTCGCCTGTACCGCACTCGGCCTTTCGCCAGCACAGTTTCGCCACCACGGACAACGAGATTTTCCTTCGTGAATCTACTTTCAACGCCTCGGATGCCCGATAAAATTTGCTACGCCTCTCTCACCGACCCTTCCGTTTCTCGACACCGAGATGGATCTCTCCATCTTCATCCCCAACAAAGAGAAGAGCTGCTGATCATTCACGACACGGGTATTGGCCAGACCAAGGCTGACCTGGTCAATGATCTAGGTACCATCGCCAACTTGAAGTCTGGCACAAAAGGCTTTATTGAGGCCCTCTCTTCTGGCGCCGACATCTCCATGATTGGTCAATTCGGTGTCGGTTTCTACTCTGCCTACCTCGTCTGTTCAGGTTGTTTCCAAACACAACGATGACGAGCCATACATTTGGGAGTCTACCGCTGGTGGGACCTTCACTATTACCCTCGACACCGTCAACCCCCCAATCGGACGTGGTTCTGAAATCCGTTTGTACCCGAAGGAGGACCAACTCGAGTACCTCGAGGAGAAGAAGATCAAGGAGATTGTCGCGAAAAAGTCCGAGTTCATTTTTTACTCAATCAAACTCGCTGTCACGAAGGAGGTCGAGAAGGTTAGTAGTCTTTTTCCCTCTCCTACATCTGTTCTAACGGATCTATAGGAAGTTGAGGATGACGAGGAGGAGGAGGCTGATGCCGATCGAGGCGGTCGAGGATGAAGATGATGCGCCGAAAGACAATAAGAAGAAGAAGGTTAAGGAGCAAAAGATCACTACCGAGGAGCTCAACAAAACCAAGCCCATCTGGACTCGCAACCCGTCAGAAATCACGACTGAAGAGTACGGGTCGTTCTACAAGAGCTTAACCAACGATTGGGAGGATCATCTTGCTGTCAAGCACTTCTCGTTGAAGGTCAACTCAATTCAAGGCCATTCTCTTCATTCCCAAGCGGTAAGTCGTTATTCAATCTGTTGCTTCCCTGTTGACCATGTTCAGGGCACCCTTCGATCTCTTCGAGTCCAAGAAGAAGCGCAACAACATCAAGCTCTACGTCCGCCGTGTCTTCATCATGGACGACTGCGAGGAGCTTATTCCCGAATACCTCAACTTCGTCAAGGGTATCGTCGACTCAGAGGATCTGCCCCTCAACATCTCCCGTGAGACGTTGCAGCAGAACAAGATCCTCAAGGTCATTCGCAAGAACATTGTGAAGAAGTGCATGGAGGTTCTGGCTGAAATTGTGCGGAGGACAAGGACAACACTTCACCAAATTCTACGAGGCTTTCGGCAAGAACCTCAAGCTTGGTATCCACGAAGATGCCCAAAACCGAAGCAAACTCGCCGAGTTCCTGCGTTTCTTCTCGACCAAGTCGTCTGAGGAGCAGACCTCGCTCAAAGGTATATTTTCCTTTCTTGCTTATGAACTCATCTAATAATCTTTGCAGACTATATTACCCGCATGCCCGAAATCCAAAAATCCATCTACTACCTCACCGGCGAATCTTTGGCGGCCACCCTGACTCACCATTCCTTGAGGTCCTCAAGAAGAAGGGCTTCGAAGTTCTGCTGCTCGTTGACCCCATTGACGAGTACGCCATCACACAACTGAAGGAGTTCGATGGCAAGAACTTGAAGCTCATCTGTGTGTCGAAAGAGGGTCTGGAGCTTGAGGAGACGGAAGAGGAGAAGGCGGCACGTGAGGCTGAGGTTGCTGCCTTCAGCGACCTTTGCACCACTGTCAAGGATGCTCTTGGCGACAAGGTCGAGAAGGTCGTCATCTCCAACCGCATCACCGACTCTCCTTGCGTTCTTGTCACTGGCCAATTCGGTTGGTCATCCAACATGGAGCGTATCATGAAGGCGCAGGCACTTCCGTGACTCATCCATGTCGTCGTATATGGCCTCGAAAAAGACCTCGAACTGAACCCGAGCAACCCCATCGTCAAGGAGCTCAAGCGTAAGGTTGCGGAGGACAAGGGCGACAAGTCTGTTCGCGACTTGACCTATCTGCTCTTCGAGACAGCGCTGCTCACTTCTGGCTTTGCTCTCGATGAACCGACATCTTTCGCTAAGCGTATCCACCGAATGATTGCGTTAGTTTTCCTATTTTTTTTTCATTTTTACTGGTCTAACATGCTACAAACAGACTTGGTCTCGATGTTGATGAGGAAGAGGAGGAAGAGACAACAGAAACCTCGACCGCCCAACCAACGGCTGCCGCCACGGAAACCACGTCTGCTGTGGAGGAGATCGACTAAACAGGGTCTTTGGGGGTGCTTTGCTTAGCTTACGTCTACTACTACTACATCTGCTGCATTTGTTTTTGATTCCTCTGCACACAAACTGAAATGTATCAACGAACCGCGCACTGGCGCGCCGAAATGCGTCTCGGAATTGTACCAAGTAGTGATGACTGCTCATTAGAGTCTCCGAAGCGATAGTCGTCAGCGTCACGAAGCAGCGGCGGCGTGACTTCCCAGGAGACAGTCCTCCTCCCGCGCTTCCACGTTCACCAACTTCTCCCTCCCCCAACCAGATGAATTTTGCGCCGGTTCAGACTCACTGCTCTCCACTCAACTTGAACTTGTAAGCTGTGCCAAGGCATTGACTCAGGCTCAATTAACCTTCAGCTTCACGTGCGGCAGTGAAGCAATACAATTGAAGTTTTGCTGCGCAACCTTCTTCCTTCCATCCCCCACTCGAAAACCTTCTGGGCCTCTTGAATCTTTCACTGAGCCTTGGGGCGATTACACTCTGGTGCCGCCAGCCCCGCACCATCAACAACAACTCGAAGGAAACCTCGGACTCAATGCCACCGAAACGGCCGAAAAAACTTGGCTCGGAGACCTGCAGTCAAGTCCACTCGCCCTTGGTCAGTGACCATCTTTTACCATTTGTTTCCCTTACCAACTTTTCTATAGCAAGAGACGCAAAAAAGCCCGAGTTCATGAAGATGATTTCGAATTAGCTGGCCTCAATCGAAGAGACCGAGCCATCAGCCGCTATCTCCAGCAACATGGCCGCACCCTACTTTCTATCGCGCAGTACCTTGGCTACGACTCTTCCAAAACGGCCACCATCTTTCGATGTCGCCAGAACAAAAATTCCACAATCGACACTGTCGCAGCAGACGCCGCTTGGTTAGCAGACTGGGACTCTCAAGCTGCTCTGGATATCACTGAGCAGTATATGAATCAAGCCGAATCGGTATGTTCTATTTGTTCATCTTGACCTATCTGACTTCGTGTAGAGAGGCGAAGCATCGAATGAGGTCGAAACTGAGCGTGAGAGCGAGAGCGAGAGCGAGAGCAAGGGATCAAACGAGAATGAAGACAAAATCGAGAGTGAAGATGAATCGAATGAGCAAATTGACAGCAACAATGAAGTCCAGCGCGACCCTGGCACAACGGTGCAGATCGCGCTTCCTGCCAACCAAGAGAACAACTCGCAATCGACAAATGGGCAGCCGAAGTGCGAGGAAACGCGCTGCTGCAAGAAGGAGGAGGCTGTTGACGTGGTTCTCATTGACGTGGGGGTGGATAGAGCCTCGGATACAGTCGCAACTCGGACGGCGATCACCTCTTCAACGGGGCAGCTAGCTCCCACACACTACAACAACGACAACCATCTTCGTCCAACTTCGGAGTCCGCTATTATGCCGCATGTTGCAACAACCACTCAATTCAGCCACATCCTCAACGACATTCCTACACCGACCTATGCGCCAACTTCTTCTAGTCCTGCACTAAGCAGTGGCCCTGCGCCAACCAACAAAGCTCAGGATGCACCAACCTATGATCTGGGTGTGCTGACCCGCGACCATGCAACAGCCCATAGCCCGACGCCTGCCAAAAGCTCGATGCCTGCTAAAAAACGTGATGCCTGTCAACAACGCTGCGCTGACCAACAACCCTGCGCCACATGGCCCCCGCCCTTCGCAAACCCATGACTCTGCGCCGGCCCACGACACTGTCACGGTGCCGACCAATACTGCTACAACTAGTCTAGCACCCCTCAGCGACTCCGAGTCAGGTCCTCCAACATTGTCAGCATTCCTGACCAATATCCAACCCGATCTCTCCTCGTACCTCGATCTTCTCAATAACTGTGAAATTCATCAAGTGGTTGATCTTGTTTCTCTGAGGGGTCGGGATTTGATGGAGACTCGCATTTACGTGGAGCGTTTGTTGCGCCTTCCGTTCCAAGCAGGGCTGGAAAAACTGGCGGGAGAATTTGTCGGCACAGTCACGTTCATGACCAGTGTAGAATGTCTGGCCCTTGCGCAGGCAATTCTTGCCTCGTCTTTCACAAAAGCCACGCAAAGAAATACAACCGTCATCGGGAAAGTCGGCTCTTTCGAAGGCTTTGCATCAAATCCATCCCAAATTGGCACGTTATGTTCCACTGCTCCACCACTGCGGCATAAACCAACCATCCGACATGTATATGTTGGTCGCAAGGGACTTCGCCAGTACGTACTATCAAAGATATGTGTATTGAGGTACTGGTACGACTGGTACGACGAGAGAAGGGTTAGGAAACATGTATGTGAGATAAGTAAGAGGGGTCATACCTGGTACGACGAGAGAAGGGTTAGGAGCCTCTCCCGTCGTCCAGGTTTCGTATACTGTGATCGACTGTAGATTGGGAGATAAGATAAAAGATTAGATGATGGCAGCGTCACTGTCTGACACCCCCCCTTGACGCGCGTCCAGTCGTAGTAGCTTTACCCAGCGTGCGTGCATTACACGATGCAGTGGTTTTGTGAAGAGATCGGCGATGTTGTCGTTGCCCGCCACATGCATCACATTGATCAGTCGCCTCAGAACGCAATCGCGGATGAAGTGTTCTCGAATTGCGATGTGTTTCATCTTCGAGTGAGCGTGTGGGTCGTGGGTACAAGCTACTGTCCCTTGATTGTCGCAGAATAGAGAGGTTGGTTGTCGTTGAGGGAATCCCAGTTCGTGCAGTATATTCCGAAACCATAGGATATCTCTCGCGCAGTGAGTCGTGGCAAGGTACTCGGCCTCGCAAGAAGATAGAGCCACCACCGCTTGTTGTTTGGAGCTCCAGGATACCGGAGAGTCGCCGATAAGTATCACAAAGCCAGATATAGACTTCCTGTCATTCCCCATGCCCCAGTCCGAGTCGCTCAAGGCGGTTAGAGTTGGTTCCAGTTCGTCTTTGCCCCCGAGTAGGATCCCGTGATTTGAAGTCCCGCGAAGATACCGCAGGAGATGTTTCGCTGCTGTGACGTGTGTTGGTCCGTGTCTGGCCATGAACCGGGCGAGTTCCCGCACTGTGTAGGATATGTCGGGCCGCGTGCAAGTCGAAAGGTACATGCATCTGCCAACAACTGCCGCATATGGGTAGTCCTTTGCTTTCTCTACCTCTTCGTCAGTTGCAGGGGCCAGTCGCGTGCTTGGATCCATCGGGGTTTTGCACCGTATTACTCTTGTCGAAGCCGAAGTCGCGAAGGATGGATTCCGTGAATGACTTTTGATGGAGGCGAATAGTTCGGTTTGCGCGATCACGTTCGACTGAGCACCCCAGATGGAGCTTGGGTTCGCCATTGTCAGTGATTTCGAATTGCGCAGACAGTGATGAGACAACCGCGTCCGATTCGACCTGGCTCGACGAGGCAATGAGCATATCGTCAACGCTCGTGGTGATGATTGTGTAGTCGTTGTCCTTCTTTCGGATATAAACACTCCAGTCCGACTCGACCCGTTTGAAACCTATGGTCTCGAGTCTCGCGTTCAGTTCGAGATACCATTGGCGTCCAGCTTGCTTGAGACCGTAAAGTCCCTTCAATAATCGCCAATAACCAGAGCCTGCGATCTCGGGTTTTCGCATATATATCTCTTCATCGAGCGGTCCATTGAGGAATGCGGTTTTCACATCGACTTGTCGTAAGATCATGTCGTGTGCGGCAGCAAGGGTGAGTACGAAGCGGATAGACTCCCATCGTGCGACTGGAGCGAATGTGTAGGTGTAGTCTTGCCCAGGTATTTGGGTAAACCCTTTCGCGACAAGACGAGCTTTGAATCTCGAAATTCGTCCATCTCTATCCCGTTTGATGTGAAGCACCCATTTGCAGGCTACAGCCTTTCGACCTGGCGGTATTTCTTCGACCTCAACATAGACACCTTTAGCTCTTAGCGATTCGAGTTCTTCGAAGATGGCGATAAGCCATTGTGGCCAGTAAATTGAGGCCTTAGCTTCTGGAATCGAGTTGGGATCTTTTGCATCGGGGTCGTCAATGGGTTCGGTGAGCGTTGAGTACACAGACTCCGCTTGCTCTAGAGCTTGAGCAATGTCGACTAGTTCTTCGAGTTCGCATTCGATCTCGAGCTCGTCGCCCGACAGGAGGACGGAGAGAAGGTAGTCTTCGGATATGACAAAGTCCTTCCCCCCTTCGTCCAATGTCGCGTGGTTGATAATATGGCGGGCTGGAATACGTCGAACGCGTGGAGTTTTCCGTTGCGCCAGTGGTGTGTCATCAATTTCGTCCGCGTTCGGCATGGGGATGTCTTCGTCGAATAATCTGGTAGATGATTAGGGTATTCCACAGGAATCCCAGTGTGTCAACGCACGGAGTAGCTCTCGGCTTAGATAATATATCCTCCATTACTTCGTCTAGAAGACGTTGCACGGGTCTATCGTTCGTCAGCGAATAGATCTCCATGAGTGATAAAACACACTCTGGAGTCGCACTGCGATCTGGTTCGTTTTGTGTCACTTCCGTCTCGGAAGGATGCCTGGTTAACAGGTAAGTAAGTTGTGTAGTCGTTAACGACAATACACACTTGTTTAGCTCAGAGGCTGGGTTATGCTCGGTGGCAGTGGTTTGCTCGATGGCAGAGGTTTGCTCAGAGGCAAGCGGTGCAGAATTAGATGCCGCGTTGGTCGTTGTGGAAGGCCGTATTGGTGCAATCGTGTCCTTGTCTTTGAAATGTTCTTCTATTTCGGAAGGCACGTCCTCCCAGAGATTTTCGGAGTGAGTGGGTGAAGGTGTTATTTCGGGAAAGCCGTGGAATTCGATGTCTCGTCTCGGTCTGATGATTCTCGTGGCTGGGAACCAGATGAGGTAACCCTTTGAGTCTCGCGCGTATCCGACAAATTTGCCTTCCTCTCCTCTCGCCGCGAATTTCATCTGGTCCGTCGAGTTCGGTTTCCTAGCTGTTACCAGAGCACCGAAAGGTCGCAAGTGCGTGAGGTCTGGTTGGTGTTTGAACCAGCTTTCGAAGGGAGTAGA